ACCACTGGTTTGGAAAAAAAAGACAAGACAAGACTAACACCATCACCCCAAAGAGAGAGCACTGACGCTGATACAGAGGACAATGCAGACAAAGTCCCATCACCACAAAGTGAGTTGTTAGATCGTGATGAAGGATTGTCAGAACCAGTTCCTTTACCAGTTGAGGAGACATCTGACTCAGCTAAAAAAGACGTCACTGGACTAATGTCTCCACTGCAGGTAGAAACCATTGAAAGTGAAACTGAAGATGAAACTGGAGAAATTCGATCACTAGAAAAAGAGGACACTGATGCTGACAAAGAAGACATACTGGGAAAATCACCATCACCACAAAAAAAGACAGCAGCGCCTGATGCAGAAGACATATTTGAAAGTGAAACGGGAGATATAACTGATCCAATTCAATCACCACAAAAAGAGGACACTGATGCTGAAAAAGAAGACAATGCGGGACAGTCACCATCTCCACAAAAAAAGACAGCAACGCCTGATGCAGAAGACACACTTGAAAGTGAAACTGAAGATATCACTGGACAACTTCCACCACCACAAAAAGAAGACAGTGACACGGACAAAGAAGACATTGCGGGAAAGTCGCCATCACCACCAAAAAAGATAGCAGCGCCTGATACAGAAGACATATTTGAAATTGCTCCTTTACCTCAAGGAGAGACCACTGATTTTGATGAGGAAGGCACTTGTAGACTAGCTCCTCAACCACATGGCCAGACCCCTGACCGTGATGCAGATGGCATCACAGAATCTTTGTCTTCACCACAAATGGAAAACATTCAGTCTCAAGTTGAAAACATATCTCAACCAGTTTCTGTTCCAGATGGGGAGGAAATAGTTGATGCTGATGAAGGAGAAATCACAGAACTCGTGTCCTCACCTCAAATGGAAACAATTGAGGATGAAATGGAAGACACAACTGGAGTGATGCAATCACCACAACAATATACATCTGACCTTGATACAGAAGACCTTTCTGAATCTTTTGATGTACCACAAACAGACACCACTGGTTTGGAAAAAAAAGACAAGACAAGACTAACACCATCACCCCAAAGAGAGAGCACTGACTCCGATACAGAATGCAGCGGAGAAAAAGTTCCAACACCACAAAGTGAGTTCTTTGATCGTGATGAAGAAGGCTTGTCAGAGCCAGTTCCTTTTCCAGATGAGGAGACTGACTCAGCTAAAAAAGACGTCAATGGACTAATGTCTCCACCACAGGTCGAAACCATTGAAAGTGAAACTGAAGATGAAACTGGAGAAATTCAATCACCAGCAAAAGAGGACATTGACGCTGACAAAGAAGACAAACTGGGAAAATCACCATCACCACAAAAAAATACAGCAGCGCCTGATGCAGAAGACATATTTGAAAGTGAAACGGGAGATATAACTGATCCAATTCAATCACCACAAAAAGAGGACACTGATGCTGAAAAAGAAGACAATGCGGGACAGTCACCATCTCCACAAAAAAAGACAGCAACGCCTGATGCAGAAGACACATTTGAAAGTGAACCTGAAGATATCACTCGACAAATTCCACCACCACACCAACAAGAAAGTGACATGGACAAAGAAGACATTGCGGGAAAGTCCCCATCACCACAAAAAATGACAGCTGAGCCTGATGTAGAAGACATATTTGAAAGTGAAACGGAAGCTATAACTGATCAAATTCGATCACCACAAAAAGAGGACACTGACACACACAAAAAAGACATTGCAGGAAAGTCGTCATCACAAAAAAAGACAGCAGAGGCTGATGCAGATGACATATTTGAAGTAGCTCCTTTACCTCAATCAGAAACCATTGAGTTTGATGAGGAATCCATTTCAAGACTAGTTCCTCTACCACACGGTGAGACCCCTGACCATGATGCAGATGGATTCACAGAATCATTGTCTTCACCACAAATAGAAAACCTTCAATCTCAAATTGCAAACATCTCTCAACCAGTTTCTATTCCAGATAGGGAGGAGATAGTTGATGCAGATGAAGGAGAAATCCCAGAACTCGTGTACTCACCTCAAATGGAAACAATTGAGGATGAAATGGAAGACCCAACTGGAGTGATGCAATCACCACAAGAATATACATCTGACTTTGACACAGAAGACAGTACTGAACCAGTTGACATACCACAGATAGACACCATTGTTTCGGAAAAAAAAGACAAGACAAGACTAATGCCATCACCCCAAAGGGAGAGCACTGACGCTGATACAGAATGCAGTGGAGAAAAAGTTCCAACACCACAAAGTGAGTTCTTAGATCGTGATCAAGAAGGATTGTCAGAATCAGTTCCTTTACCAGATGAGGGGACACCTGACTCAGCTAAAAAAGACATCACTGCACCCATGTCTCCACCACAGGTTGAAACCATTGAAAGTAAAACGGAAGATGTATCTGGACGAATTCGATCACCACAAGAAGACAGTGTCACAAACAAAGAAAACATTGCAGGAAAGTCGTCATCACCACAAAAAAGGACTGGAGAGGCTGATGCAGAAGACATATTTGGAGGAGCTCCTTTCCCTCAATCAGAAACCATTGATTTTGATGAGGAAGATATTGCAGAACTAGCTCCTCTTCCACATGGTGAGACCCTTGACCATGATGCAGATGGAATCACAGAATCCTTGTCTTCACCACAAATGGAAAACCTTCAGTCTCAAGTTGAAAACATATTTCAACCAGTTTCTGTTCCATATGGGGAGGAGATCGTTGATGCCGAAAAAGAACAAATCCCAGAACTTGTGTCCTCACCTCAAGTGGAAACAATTGAGGATGAAATGGAAGACACAACTGGAGTGATGCAATCACCACAATATACATCTGACTTTGACACAGAAAACATGACTGAACCAGTTGACGTACCACAGATAGACACCATTGTTTCGGAAAAAAAAGACAAGACGAGACTAACACCATCACCCCAAAGAGAGAGCACTGATTCCGATACAGAATGCAGCGGAGAAATACTTCCAACACCACAAAGTGAGTTCTTCGATCGTGATAAAGAGGGATTATCAGAACCAGTTCCTTCGCCAGTTGAAGAGACAACTGACTCAGCTAAAAAAGACATCACTGGACTAATGTCTCCACCACAGGTAGAACCCATTGAAAGTGAAACTGAAGATGTAACTAGACAAATTCGATCACCACAAAAGGAGGACATTGATGCTGACAATGAAGACATTGTGGGAAAGTCACCATCACCACAAAAAATGACAGCTGTGCCTGATGAAGAAGACATATTTGAAAGTGAAACTGAAGAAACAACCGGAGAAAGTCGATCTCCACAAAAAGAGGACACTGATGCTGAAAAAGAGGATATAGCGGGAAAGTCACCATCACTCCAAAAAAAGACAGTAACACCTGGTGAAGAAGACACATGTGAAAGTGAAATTGAAGAAATAACTGCACAAGTTTCACCACCACAAAAAGAAGACAGTGAAACGGACAAAGAAGACATTGCGGCAAAGTCACCATCACCACCAAAAAAGACAGCAGAGCCTGATGTAGAAGACATATTTGGGGTTGTTCCTTTCCCTCAAGGAGAGACTATTGATTTTGATGAGGAAGGTGTTTCCAGACTAGGTCCTCTACTACATGGTGAGACCCCTGAAGATGATGCAGATGACATCACAGAATCTTTGTCTTCACCAAAAATGGAAAACCCAGTACTTGTGTCCTCACCTCAAATGGAAACAATTGAGCATGAAAAGGAAGAAACAAGTGGAATGATTCAATCACCCCAAAAATATACATTTGACTTTGATACAGAAGACATTCCTGAAACAATTCACTTCCCACAGAAAGACACCACTGGTTCTGAAATGAAAGATAGGAGAAGCATAACACCAGCACCCCAAAGAGAGAGCACGGACGCCGATGCAGAATACATTGAAAACAAAGACCCATCACTAGAAAGTGAAAAAGAAGGATTCTCAGAACCAGTTCTTTTGCCAGATGAGGGGACAACTGACTCAGCTAAAAAATATGTCACAGGACTAATGTCTCCACCACAGATAGAAAGAATTGAAAGTGAAACTGAAGATATAACTGGACAAATTCGATCACCACAAAAGGAGGACTTTGATGCCGACAATGAAGACATTGCGGGAAAGTCGCCATCACAACAAAAAAAGACAGCAGCGCCTGATGCAGATGACATATTTGGAGTAGCTCCTTTACCTCAGTCAGAAACCATTGAGTTTGATGAGGAAGCTGTTTCTAGACTAGTTCCTCGACCACACGGTGAGACCCCTGACCATGATGCAGATGGAATCACAGAATCTTTGTCCTCACCACAAATGGAAAGCCTTCATTCTCAAATTGAAAACATATTTCAACCAGTTTCTGTTCCAGATGGGGAGGAAATAGTTGATGCTGATGAAGGAGAAATCACAGAACTCGTGTCCTCACCTCAAATGGAAACAATTGAGGATGAAATGGAAGACACAACTGGAGTGATGCAATCACCACAATATACATCTGACTTTGACACAGAAAACATTACTGAACCAGTTGACGTACCACAGATCGACACCACTGGTTCGGAAAAAAAAGACAAGACAAGACTAACACCATCACCCCAAAGAGAGAGCACTGACGCTGATACAGAGGACAATGGAGAAAAAGTCCCATCACCACAAAGTAAGTTCTTAGATCGTGATGAAGAAGTTTCTTTTCCAGTTGAGGAGACACCTGACTCAGCTAAAAAAGATATCACTGGACTAATGTCTCCACCACAGACAGAAACCATTGAAAGTGAAACGGAAGATATAACTGGACAAATTCGATCACCACAAAAGGAGGACATTGATGCTGAAAAAGAAGACATAGCGGGACAGTCGCCATCACCACAAAAAAAGACAGCAACGCCTGATGCAGAAGACACACTTGAAAGTGAAACTGAAGATATAACTGGACAAATTCCACCACCACAAAAAGAAGACAGTGACACGGACAAAGAAGACATTGCGGGAAAGTCGCCATCACCACCAAAAAAGACAGCAGCGCCTGATACAGAAGACATATTTGGAGTTGTTCCTTTAGCTCAAGGAGAGACCATTGATTTTCATGAGGAAGGCACTTCTAGACTAGCTCCTCAACCACATGGTGAGGCCCCTGACCATCATGCAGATGGCATCACCGAATCTTTGTCTTCACCACACATGGAAAACCTTCAGTGTCAAGTTGAAAACATATCTCAACCAGTTTCTGTTCCAGATGGGGAGGAAATAGTTGATGCTGATGGAGGAGAAATCACAGAACTCGTGTCCTCACCTCAAGTGGAAACAATTGAGTTTGAAATGGAAGACACAACTGGAGTGATTCAATCACCACAAAAACATCCATTTGACATTGATACACAAGACATGACTGAAACAGTTCACTTACCACAGGAAGACATCAGTGTTTCAGAAATGAAAGCCGGGACAAGACCCACACCATCACCCCAAAGAGAAAGCACTGACACTGATTCAGAATGTAGTGTTGACAAATTCCCATCACCACAAAGTGAGTTCTTAGATCGTGATGAAGAAGGCTTGTCAGAACCAGTTCCTTTCCCAGCTGAGGAGACAACTGACACAACTAAATTAGACGTCACCAGACTAACGTCTCCACCACAGGTAGAAACCATGGAAAGTAAAACCGGAGAAATACGATCCCCACAAAAAGAGCACATTGACGCTGACAAAGAAGGCATTACGGGAAACTTGCCATCACTACAAAAAAAGACAGTAACGCCTGATGCAAAAGACACATTTGAAAGTGAAACTGAAGATGTAACTGGACAAATTCCACCACCACAGAAAGTGGACAGTGACACGGACATTGTGGGAAAGTCGCCATCGCCACCAGAAAATACAGTGGCATCTTATTCAGAAGACATGTTTGAGAAAGATCCTTTACTTCAATCACAGACCAGTGATTTTAATGAGGAAGGTGTGTCTAGACAGGTTCTTTTACTCATGGAAACCACCATTGAGCCTGAAATGGAAGACATGACTGCACTGATTCAATCACCACAAATATTTTCCTTTGACTTTGATAGAGAAGATTTTTCTAAACCAATTCAATCAACACTAATAGAAACCACTGATTCTAAAATAGAAGGTTGGATCAGACCAGTGCCATCACCACAAATAGAGAACTTTGACTTTGAGACAGAAGACCTTGCTGCATCAATTCCTTTGAATCAAAAGGATCCAACTGACTCTGTAATGGAAGAAGTCACTGAACCAATACGATCTCCACAAATAGAAACTGCTGATTATGAAATTGAAGACTCCACTATGCTAATGCTTCTACCACAAAAAGAAACCATTGTTTCTGTTACAGAAGACCTTACTGAACCAGTGTCATCACCACAAATACAACCCACTATGTGTAAAATCGAAGACATTAGTCGACCAATATTATCACCAGAAAGAGCGACCATTGATTCTGATGCACAAGACATCACTCAACTAGGGCCACCACAAATAGAAGAGACTTTATCTAAAATAGAAGACAGAACTGGACCAATGCCATCACAAAAAGAGACAATTGAGCGAATTCACTCTGATATCCAAGACATATCTGGAATGGTGCCACGGCAAAGAAAGCTTGACACAGAAGGCGTATTACCTTTACCGCTTGAAGAGACCACTGACTCATCTACAGAAGACACATCTCAAACCGTATCAGAAATAAAAACTTTCGTGTCTGTAATGGAAGACATAAATGGAGCAAAACAATTAGGTCCCGATATAGTGCTGCTACATGAACCAGTCCAATCATCCCACAGAGACAGGTCTGATGATGAGGACTTGTTTGAATTCGTTCCATTACCAAATGAATCTATTGCATCAGAGGACATATCTGACATGTTCCCAAGTAAAGAGGATTTATTTGAACCAGTGACATCACCAACGGAAGATTATGTTGTATATGCTACAGTGAAACCATCTCATTCAGTCCCAACCACAGACGAGACACCAGGTTCAGTGCCACTCTCAACATCTCAGAAAGAAAGTACCTTTTCTAGTATACAGGACCTATGTGACCCACTGCCATTAGCAATTAAAGACACCACTGAATCTCATGAAGATGATTTATATGGGAAGATCACTGTATCTTGTACAGAGAAACTCAATGAATCACTAGCAAACGAAGAATCTGATTTGTACGATACTCACTTTATACATGACTTAGTACCATCACCATGGCAGGAGATAGATAATCAATCTCATTTACTTCCATTTGCATCATCATCAGCAGCAACAGCAGACAATGAGACCTGTATGTCCAATGTAGAGGACCTTCCTGGATCAGTCTCTTCACCTTATGGAGAGAACATTGCAACAGATCTCTGTAGTCCACCGCAAAATGTAGATGAAATATCACAGTCACCATTTTCTGAACCACTCCCACTACCACACAGACAGATAACAGAATCTGAAATACAAGAATCATCCCAGTCATCCGGACTTGAAACATCACCAGAGAGAGAAACTCTTTTATTAGAGATGGAATTCCCAAATGCAGATGAACTAAGTGATACAGGGGGCCCATCTAAACTAGTTCCACTGCATCACAAAGTGCCTACATTTTTGGATCTAGGTGAGTTATCGTTATTTGTTCCATCATTACAGAAAGAGGTCAGTCTACCTGATACAGTTAATATAGCTGACCTGGTCGTAAATGCAGAGGATGCGTCTACACCAGAGCTGTCACCAAACAAAGATATGTCCGTGTGTGACACAGAGAGATTTTCCAGACCAGTGCGAGCACGACCTTCAGAGGACTTATTTGACGCATTGTCAGACGAATTATGTGACCCAGTCACAAGACCAAATGAAGAGATCACTGTTTCGGATCATGACTATCCTCTTGAACCCATCTCATGGCTACATAGTGAATCTTCTGTGTCAGATACCGATGACCTTTTGGGACTCGTTCCATCAGAACCTGGGGAAAAGACTTCCTCTGACAAAGAAGTCCCCTCAATGTTAGCATTGTCACCGCACAAAGAACTACATTTTTTGGATACTGGGCTCTTAAACAAAGCATTGCAGGGTACAGAGGAGATTTCAAGACTCATGTCATCACCACCCAAAGACACACCTTTGTCTGATAGTAAGGACCTAGCTCAGGCATTACCTACCAAAGAGACCCATACTTGTGATGTCGAAAACATATTTGGACAAATGCCACAAACTATCACTGAGTGTGACAGAGAGGACATATCTGAATCAGCATCACCATGCCAACAAACCTCATTGTCTGACATTGAGATCCAACCTCTACCAGTGTCCTCACCACATCAAAACATACTACTGGAGGGTGTGTCTGAAATATACTCAAATGAAAGGAATGTATCTGAATCAGCACCATCTCCTGTTAAAATGATGGTACCTGATACAGAAGACACATGCAAATCCGATGTATTTGCTATGGAGGAGTTCTATGAACCACAACCATCACCTTACAAAGAGACCACAGCATTACACGGTTACACTAATACAGAGGGCCTCTTTGAACTTGTCCCAAACATGGAAGGGATATCAACAGGAATACCATTACCAGACAAAAAGGGAGAAGCAGCTGATGCCAAGGAATCTGGTGCAGAGGTTGTATTTAATCCATATCTGTTAGCGACAGAGGACAGACATTTGCATACACAACTGCAAAAAAAAACCACTGAATCTGATACAGACAGCAGTTTTGAAAGATTGCCAAATGTTGGTGCTGTACCAGCAAAAGTGCCATCATTACATCAAAAGACTGCTGAGTCTGATATTGAGGACTCCACTGGTTCTGTGCCTTTTTCACCACTAAAAACGAGTAAAGAATCTGAAAGTGGGTCTGAAAGGTCTTCACTATCATCCAAAGGGGATTTCTCTGAACCTGTTCTATCATCATTGAAAGAGACAACCATGTCTGATGCAGAGGACTTACTTGGACCAATTCGACTATTACAAGGAGAGAGCCCTATATTTCACATACCTCGACCAGCGACAATGCCACCACCACGTGAAGAAAGGCGAAAGAGAAGGAGGGCATTCTGTCTCAGGATCCCTGATCAAAATGAACTAAAACTCCCTCTAAAGTCTGTCACATCAGATATACAATCATTCCCATGCCAAGATCATCAGGGCCCCAAACCAGAGGGTTTATGTGATGAATTGGTGAAAATGGAAAGCAAGGGGGAACTGAGTCCTGGACAGACAGACCAAGAATGCTCGCCGATACTCCCCAAAACCTCAGCACAAAAGCAGAAGATGGAGCAAACATCAATGAATGTCAGTTCTACCTCATCACCCAGTGACCATTTTTATCATAAACCAAAGAAGTATCAAGGTATTAAAAAAAATGAGCCAAGTCCAAAAGCTGAAATAAAGCCTCCTCCCAGGCCTAGAAGAGGGCACATTGTTGATCAGCAGCAATCATCCTCTTCAACTATTAAAACATCTAAGTCAGGAAAAGACTCTACCAGTAAGGTTTCTTCTGATCTATCAAAAAAAGGAAGAAATAGACAGGATACATCTAGCCCAGTGACCCCACCACACAAAAAGGTTACCGTATCTTGTATGCCTCAACCAGAGCGGCCCCAAGGACCACTTCATGAGGTAAAAACAGTACGACATGCACTTCCTTTCACAACACCCAATCAAAAGGAGCCACAACTTTCTCCATATGCTGCAAGATCAGCCTACCTGCCTAAAATGCGCCAAGCGCCTTCTAAGGCACAAAAACCTGAGGATGTTTGCAGAGAACTCCGAGAAAAGGAAAGGAAAGGACTATCTGGGTCTAAAACACCCCACCAACGTGGGCCACTGGCACCGCCACCAAAAGAGAAAACCGTACCTGATAAAACTCGACCAGGACCAATGCCGCCTGCACGACAGAGGAAAAAAACAACACGGCCATCATTTACAATCAGAGTTCCTGATCAACAGTCGACAGTTGCCCCACGGGTCCTGAGCAAAACCGATGTTTGTGGTGCGCTAAATGAACAAAGAAAAGGGTCTCAAACCACTGAAGAGTCACACACAGAACCATCACAGGCTCCAGACAAAACTTCTCAAAAACAGGTGAAAGGAAACAAATCAGCACTGAAAAGTGTCAACTTTCCACCAATTCATGATTCACATCACAGACAGAAGGCTAGTGTTGATAGCTGGTGTTCGGATACCAAAATAACAGAAGAAAAGCCAATGTCGGAGATCCATCCACTGTCTCCATATAGAACCAAGCTTGCAACTCCTGTTCCTCCAACGGCTGAGACCAGAAGTCAAGAAATAAAAAAAAATGATATTGAGCCCAGACCTGAGATCCAGATTTCAAGCAGTCCTGGTGAAGAATTGCTGATTAATCAAGACCCCAATCCACTCAAAGCCAAGAAGTTCACTAGTCTGGCAGATAAGAGAAAGGAACTAGGGTCTAGATATGAGATACGGGGTCAGTACAAACCCAAGGGCGGAGTGATTGTCGATAGAGAACTCGAACCCCTTAGACCTAAAACACATTCGAGACGAAATGTTATAGGGCGTGGATCGGCGATACGGACTGCATATCGGCCTAGAGGAGGACCAATCGTTGATCAAGACCAGATTCCAATGAGATCCAGGACACAACCAAATATGGGTTCAATACAAAAAGGGCTAGGGCTTGGATCCATCAGATGTCCTCCAGACAAGCTTAAACAAGAAACCATTTTTGATCCATTGACATTTAAGTCAGAATGCCGGAGTCTGGGAATGAAACAAAATGAGCCTGTATCTGTGATACAGCCATATAGACGCAGGGAAGATATGCTTTTTGACAATACAATGCTACTAAGAACCAAGGCAGACTCGAAGACAACAGATTCAAGGAGACCCACATTTAGTACTGCTAATAGGAATGCCACCATGCCAGAAGCTAAAAAAACCCTACAAATGGCAAACATGTCGCTTGCGGCCTCATCAGTCACGTGCTCCAATTGTGGACATAGTGCCTCTTTCATTCAGTGCAGACAAGACGTGATGATCGGATGTCAAACACGGATTCCTCGGCCACCGAGTTGTAGGAATATGGCTGGACCAATATTGAAAAAGATAGCCATGTACCCCCCTCAAAGATTAATAACATGCAAAATGGGTTCAGTTGAGACAGACATATTCAAGCAACTTAAATACGCTCCTGCTCGCACTTTTTAATGATGACATACCCTCACGAAAAATACATTTTCAATGCACCACAATACCAATCTACTAAACCTCTATCAAGTATTAAGTATCTCAACTCAACTCAACTCAACTCAAAAAAAAAAAATCTAAGTATTTTTGTGACTTGATATACAAAACAATTTATTTTTTATTAATTTATACAAAACATTTTATATGTACTTTTGCCAGGCAAAGCACACCTATACACAATGTGTAGCATTTCTTTATTTTTATATATTTATATATGTACATGTTGAAACTATATGAAGTCTTCTTAATATTTCATCAATAAAGCAATTATTTCTTAAAATTAGTTATTGACTGAAATTGCTTGTGTGTGTCTATATTGTTGTCAACATTAAACAGATGGACAAATGGTGTCTTCATGCATGTTTATAATCAGGAGTGAACAAAAATTTGGGGGATGGCCTTTCTCAAATGAGCAGCAGAGGTTATTTTTTGATGCAGATTTTTTTTTTCCCAACCCACCGACCTCATGGATGAACTTGAAGACACATCCAAGCCCGTTCATAGTCTCTGCAGTCTTAATGAAGTCCAAACAATGTCAAGTATGCTTTGCTTTTATTTTGATGTGCACTTGTAAAACAGGGAGAGCAAACAAAAGCAGCGACTTGAATTCAGCGTTGCCAACTTGAAGATATTTTCACTGTATTCAAGGACTTCTACCATTCTCGCAGTTCTTGAAAAAAAGTAACATTGAAAAGAATTGTGCCAATAACAACGATAGTTCTCATGTTCAACTGAGGTCATCTTGTTAGCAACATCTTATTTTCTCCACATTGAAGAGGAGAGGAATTTGCCTTGGTTATGATTTGGGATTCTAAGAACAGATAATTGTGGTGTGTGCTCTAATAACAGCATACTATAAAATGTAGAAAACAAAGAGGGACACTGTAGACATGTTTTTTGTGACTGACCATTAAATAGTGATTCATCATTAATGAGAGTAAATACATTATGTGATTTTAATGCAGCTGATTGAACATTTTTTCACCCGTACAGTATTTATTTTAGTTTTTATTTCCTGATTACAACTTATATCAGGAAGTGGCAGCTTATTAAAACAACAAATACAATAAACTTTTTTCTATCTATCTATCTATTGAGATAGATAGATAGATAGATAGATAGATAGATAGATAGATAGACATTAAATTCATTTGAAACACAATTGAATTAGCATGTTGGTGTGGCCCTCCACCACTGTTTCAGTTTCTTCCGGCCTTTGAAAAATGAATTGCCTACCTTTGAATTGCAGAATGGCACCCTGTGATTAGCTAGCTAATTGAGCAGAGTTCTCTAAGACAGTGGTTAAGTGGCCAACCTTTTCTGAACTACGAACAGGTGTCGCATAAAGACTTATTTTGACGGACCGTCGAACCTGCAGCGGACCGGTACCGATCAACCAGTTTCCTCGGTGGCACAGCCGCACGGTTGTCCTTTACCGGGAGCGAGTTTCGACAAGTCAGCCACCAAACAATTGTCAAAAGGCTATTATGGATTGCCGCCAGGAGGGTCAACATCAAAATACTGTAAAAACTTTATAAGTAATACTGTACTGTACATGGGATAGCGGTGCGTAAATCGCTTTTATTTTGAAGTTTGTCTCGGAAGCACTTGTGGTAGCTGCGGCAAAACAACCAGACTCGTATATCGGCCCAGGTTCTTTAAATTAATGAACTATCATTAATCCATTCACTGTTGAAGCCAAAGGGCGGCCGTCTTCCGTTGTCACTGTTAGTCACAGCTTTTGTTTTTTTTTCGCTGAAAACACTGTTATTGGTGCGCGTTATATGGCAGCATCCCTGTATGGAGTAATGAGAGACTCTCAAAGATCGAATTTCATTTTGCATCGACTATTCAGAGTACATTAGAGTATCTCAATATCGTGAAATGTGACTCGCAGAGGTTTGTTTTACATTCGCAGCAAATTTGGTCCCGATGGACTGATGCAGACAATTCTTTGAGTAGTGCTCAGAGATAACTGTACCTTATAAGAGAACATGTAAAATTGCACTCTTGAAATATAACACTTCTTTTAGACTTATTCGTACAACCGTTTGCCAAACACGGTGGCATTTTTGTCATAGAGACTGAAAATAACATGGAAACGCTGCAGAGAAGTCTATGTATTGAAGTTAGGAGCGCTTTGCGATTGCCAACGTAAGATGGCCGCCGGTGGATTCACTTCTCGTTTTTCTGTTTTTTGAGTCTCTCTTTTTTTACACTTGCACTTACATCTTCTTATTATTTTGCCGGCCTAAATTAATTTATGACTGACTAAAAAAAACACTTTGCAGGAATAAAAATAAAACATTTCGCAGTCAGGAATTGAATGTCCCCACCACATGCTCTGTCCTGACTTCTGAAGCTTTTATGCATTTTCTGGTATTTTGCCCGAGCTGATAAAAGTGAATACCATCTCACAACTCTAGGGGGAGCCTATAATGTAGGTTTCAACGTTGTAGCTTTCTAAAGATGCACTCGATGTAGGCCCAATGTAAACCTTTAATTTGACTTCTATGGCTGAGAAACAGTGTTTATTGTTTAGACACCCTCGTGATTGTGTAACACTTCTTCACCGATTGAAGTTATAAGACAACATCACATTCTTAGTTCTTTGTTGGAACTTGTTTGCTCAGTATACATACAAAAATATCCATACAAAGAATCGAGGAGCTTCTAGTTTATATTACACACAAAAAAGACTTCACTTTGTTTGACTAAAGTATATGCACGCTATATATCTATCTATCTATAATATAACATATGTATATCATACTTTTGGTCAGTCCCCTCCTCCTTTAATTGTGTGTGTTTGTGTGAGCGCGTGCCCGCGCGCGTGTGCCTGCGCGCGAGTACTTTTGGTTGCTTCATAGGCAGTCTCCGGCTTCACTGTGCGCCTGGCGAGTGCAGAGAGAGGAGCATCGGGAGGCAGCGGGAGAGACATTCCGAAAATAAGCTTCCACTTTACCGCAGTCGTTCCGGTGCAGGTCGGTTCTGTTTTTTGTCATGTCCATGTTTTCATACAACTTGGCTCCACGTTGCATTTGAGCTTTTTTTTTTTTTTTTTGCCTTAGATGTATACAATACAGTTAAGAGTTTACGGGTTGCTGAGGTTGAATCTAACTTGAATGTACTTTCCCCATTCATGTTGGATGATGATGTCATAAAGGCGTGATTAATACAATAAAACGTCACCGTGCACTTGTTGTGCCGCAATGGTTGTGTGTGCGCATCCTTGCGTTGTCGATTCAAGCAGCCTGCCATGTCTTGCGCGGTGTGTGGAGGTACGTACCAACGTTTGCAAAAACGACAACAAACCAGCGTGCATGCAGTGTGTACCGTTACGCGTTTTCACGCATCGTGCATCATGATGTTAAAGAAAATGAATCTTGATATTTATATATTTAAGGAAAAAGAGTAGTTGACGTTATTGCAACGAAGACGCATTTTGCTATTGTTGCTCTTTCTGCACACTAATAGTTCAAATATGATGATGCTAAATATTAATCTACCGGCTTGCATAGTGTCGCGCCACTGAAAATGAAATCCGATCATGGTCTGGGTAGGGATAGCTTTACACCGAGCTATTTTTAACCGTGCTGGCCGCCTCATTGTGTGTAGCACAGTGTCATTTCGCCCTATGGAGGTATCTGCTCGATGTGAATGGAGCCGCACTGTAAAAACACAAACAAACAAAAATAGTAAACTGGCAGCTCTAGTTGTCAGGATGTTGTCTTGAATAAATCTTGGAACATTTCCATGTGTTATAGTACTGTAATTGGTAATGGATGTCATATTTCCTGGATTTTACTGTTGTGCCGCATTCCTTCAAGTTGTTGCTTACTCAAATAGACTCTCTCAATTAATGGTGTCAAATACAAGGCGTGCGGTCCATATTCTGTCCCATGTGTCATTTTTTTTCATTTAGTAATTTCACTGGAAAAAAAAAAAGAATTCTTTGGATTTACTTGATTTGAACATGTACATCAATTTCACATGATTAAAATGTGTTAAACTAACATATGCCGTTGGATTATTTTGAGGAAACAAGAGGGAAACGACACCACTTTACCACATTTCAACCAACCTTAAATTAAGTACAGTACTTGTTTTCCATTCCGGATCATGACAGCTTTCCTTAATATCAGGTCAGTTATCCATCCATCATAAAAATGATAATCAGTGGAGGGGCCATTATGCAGTGGTGCCTCATCAATACGGGGCGCTAGGATGCTACCCTCAGTTCAATCACATTGAAAGGTATAATTATAATTAATATTTTCATAAACATTAATTGAATTTTTTTTTTAAATGTATTACAAAAACATATTTGCATTGATCTGTGGCATCTCGAACAATCCTGTATTTCCGGTTTGGGCATACAGAACATCACTGATAGACTCTTGTTAAACATTTTAAAACCTGACATGCGAAGCAGTTCCTCATGCTGTACACGTATTTGGCACCGTTATCCTGACGGCATCAGGTACTGAATTCCACCGCCAACAGCCAATAACATTTGAACACAGTCACCGTAAAAAGCCAACGAAATTTGCTGTTCAGACCCAACACATCCAATATGGCTGCCACATCTACTTGGTCAGCATGTCAATGTGGTGGCCATATTGGATGCGGATCAAACAGGCTTTCCTTACAGTGTAACAAGTTTTGTCTTCATATTCAACTCACTGAAGTTATTACAAAATATTTCGAGAGGAGAACGTGGGGCCCAATCATACATTTCTCAACAAAATTATATACATGTAGGTTGGAGTGCAGCTACTCTTTGGATAGTGTGTGTGTGTGTGTGTGTGTGTGTGTGTGTGTGTGTGTGTGTGTGTGTGTGTGTAATTACATAAGTTGATTGGGGACAAGGACAAGAACGGGCATCAGAGACGTGCTTTTGGCAGAACGTCAAACTTTTTGTCTCATTTGAAATGGCATCAAGCCAACATTACTATAACTGTAATAACACGGCTCACAAAACAGTAGCTCTCGGTATGAGTGCAACATTAGTGGCATTTAAGTAGCCTCTCTTGGGCTCTTCAAATGGAGTCAAAGCAATAACAAATGCCATTGCAGTTTGTTATAGGACAATAACTCACATGGTTCACACTGTCACTGTTGCACTTGTTCTGCATCCTTCACTTCCCCCCAAAAAACTAATCAAGGTCAAGGTCAAGGTCATCTTTATTGTCAAATATGCTTTATGTATGACATGCAGCATAGATGAAATTTCTTCCTCTCAATCCTCCTCAGAGCAAACATGCAAACATGCTGTGCATTAAACACCCAGCTAAGACAAGATAGCAGCTAATGTAATGTAATGTGATGTTGCACTTCCTTAAAAGAAAAGACCACAATGTTAGGTACACCATTAGAATCACAAAAAAACTGCCTTGCCAAAGATGATAATACTAAAGCTAACAGTGTGTTTAGTACTGTGTTGTGGTGTATTGAGGTGTATTGTTGAGGCTAGCCAAAGTAACAGATGTACTGTATTGAAATTCAAAGTACAACCAGAATAATCAACATACGGAAAAATACTAGCTTACATTCATTTATTACATTGACATTTATTACTTTTATTTATTATTATTACTGTGACATTGACACAGTGAAATCATGTAAATGTCTCCTTCAACATGGCAAGGTTTCTGAAAAGTTTCCCGAATGCCAGAACGCCACACGATTTCCCATCTGTATCAGTCTCAATAAAAGCTCAGAGGAACTCACTAGTACAGTAGTTAGATTTCCAAAAAAAGGATTTTGTGGGAGGTTTCAATGTTTCAAGACAGGATTAGCGTTTCAAATCGGATTCTAGTTCCAAACCAGGTGTTTCAAAATGGGCTAAGGTTGGTCGTGGTAGTGTTTCAAAACATGGTTGTTTGTACTTTCAACAAGGGTTAAGATTTTGAGGCCAGTGTTTTGGTTTCAAAACTGGTTGTGCAGTTTTTTGTGTCAACGTGGCGGTGACACTGAAGATGGTGTTGAGTCCCTTCCTTTCAACCTGCTTTTATCCTCCCTTGCGCCCTTCATCTTCTCTTCCTCATTTCCCCCCCATTCTTCATCACCCCCTTTTTGTTTCTCATTCGCTTCCTTCCTTTTGTTTTATGTTTTGCACATTTGACAATAAAGTTGTACTTGACTTTTATCCAATACATTTTTTACTCCCTTCCTTCCTTTCATCTTTCCTTCTGTGCTTCATTCCATCCTTTCTTTGTCCCACGCTTGTGTCTACAAATTACTTTAAAGTGAATATCTCTATTTTTGGCCCACTTTGTATCTATGTAATAGCCTATAACAGGGGTGTCAAACCCTTGGAGGGCCGTTCTGACTGTGAAACCCTATCAATAAGTCAAGAATAAAATTAACTCCAATGAGGGGTTTGCTAACAAGAAAATGCTTTCAATATCTCTCTTTTTTATTACATATGAGAATTTGAAATTTTGGAACACATTTTAGCAAACATCATGGACGTTGTCATCTTTGATTTGCTTTCGCGGGGCACATAAAATGATGTGGCGGGCCACATCTGGCCCCCGGGCCTTGAGTTTGACACCAGTGGCCTATAATGTATAATATACCGTAATATACATATATATCGTATTATGAAGTTGTGTGAGTATGTCCCATCCATGACCCTGGGGACCAGGACGGAAAAGAAAGCACATATGGTCGAGTGACGTAACACCAACCGCAGCCACGGGTATGTGTGCGCGCGCCTGTGGGATTAGATCAAGGCGAGCGCCGATCCTCCATATCAAGCGAGCACAACAAGCCGTTTAATTATCGGCCGCCAAGCGAATACGGAAATGGACATCCGCGGGCAATGAACGCCGCGGCCGCCGCGACCTGCCTGCTCGCGGCCGGCCTCGGTTGCTTCCTGTACGGCCGCGATGTCTTACTGCGGCCGCTTCGTATCTTTCTGGCAGACCCATCCTCCATGCCCGAGCCGGGGGCTGCTCCCAGACGGAGTCCGCAGGGAGTTCCGTACACCGACCTGGAGCACATCGTCAACGCCGATGGGTTGCACCTGTTCTGCCGCTACTGGGAGCCGGTCGCTCCGCCAAGGTCAGTTCGTCGCGGGGTGGGCAGAGGGGGGCGTGGGGGTGATCGAAGAGGAGTGCGCGTCTCTATTGCACCGTCGTGTCCTTTTAATATATTTTTAGTTTGGTGTTAGTTTATTTAGTCTACGCCTGCACGTCGAAATGACTCACCTTTGTCCCATATAATTTGAATGTATTTATAATCCATTCAATAGTGTGGTTTTAATAATGGTACAAATGTAGATATGTTAAATATTATTATCATAATGAAAGACGTATATTAAACCAAAAAAAAAAAAACCCCAATCATTAAAAATGCATGCAGTCTACTCACATTGATTTCTCACATCACTATTTAGTCAACATTTCACAAAAATCGCCAATGTGCATAATTTTTTTCCCCACGTTTTTAAAATGTATCGTTTTCATACACGCTGATGAAATTCGCTCAAATGACCTTTCAAGATATGTTCTTATTAATCATTGATAATCTATGCAAAATAATATCCATTCTAATGGTTTTTATTTCTAATTTCTGCAGCTGAATGTTATACAGTTGGCCATTTTCCGCACGCCTCCTTCACGCACATGTGCTTGTGACAGAAAAGGAAACACAGATGCCGCACGCAAACTCTGTCTAAGCATGAAATTGCATGCAGCGTGATGGCACCGCACAGATCTGACAGAATGTGCAGGCCCAAAAAAACATCGAGCGTCAAGACAGGATGTTTTTGCAGATGGTACACCTCACCACCTCAGCACAGCATCAACTCATTAGCTCAACTGATAACTGAGTAATTAGTTTACAAAAAACACTGTAAGCCATGGCCATTGAGTCAATCAATTCCATGGTGACTCTTTAAAAAAACAACAACAAAAACCCCAAAATAAAACACTGCGATTCTGATAAATTGGCATAGTATTTGCTGACACTGGACGCTTAACTGCTATAAAAATGATACCTTCTCCGTCTAATGTCCAGCGTTTATTCTCTTTGTCACATTCTTCTCTCAACACTCGATGTTGAAGTTGCTATTTGTTTAAAAAATAAATAAATTAATTTAAAAAAAGCAAAATGCAGACACAGTCCTAATCCATTCTGAAGTTCTAAACTAGTGCTGTTGTCGCGCCACAAAGCAATTGGCAACATTTTGTGCACCGTGGAATTTAATTATTCGACGCAAGAGGATCACCTTTTTTGTGTAAGTCAATAGCAATTTGGTTTTGTGCTTGGATCCGTTTTGCAAGTCTAATTGAAATATTGTTTTACATTAGTATGCTGGGAGGCATTGACTACTTTGAGTAGCACTACACTCGCGCATGGACACACACACGCACGCACGGACGCACGCGCACACACACAATATTTCCATTGAAGGTGTGAGTTTCCTTGCATAACCACATGCTTTGCATAGTACTAAGACTAAACTCCGAGAGGCATCATGCTACGGGGCATCCAGGCTGCTGTTAACAAGAAGAAAGAAGGGAACGTAGTAGAAGAAGAAAAGTTCTCTCCAAGTGCGCACTTCACAGGGGTGATCTTTGATTGCCCCGGTCAATTTTACATATCTGCCTGTGGAGGTCTGCTTGCATCTTCGTATAAAAGTACTTTGTGCACTTCAATGTCTTGCATTTGTCAGTTCCTCCTTCCGCCAAGGCAAGGACTGTGGCCGACTTATGTGCTGATTTTAAAGGAAATGAGTGCAGCCGCTTCGATGTGGTTTGAAACAAGTCGGCTGTGCCACGCCCAGAACGGCGCAAACCGCCCGTTTATAACTGCTCCAAATCTTGTGCGTCGGCGAAGATGCCAACACTTGGCATCGCCTGCCCCATTGCACAGTTAGACCGTCCTACATGCTATACTCGTGCTGGGCACAAATATAGAGGCCACACAGTCAAACAGAACCTCTGGTAGAACAGCTCCCTATTATGTCAATACATACAGGTACTATTTTAGAATACAAATAAAATATAAGTCTCAATAACAACTTAAATGATAGCATTGCTGCCCCAGTCCCCATTTCAAATGCATTTGCCCCATTTTATTACTATAACCAGCATTAAAGTTGTAATGGGATGTGCTGTCAGTGGTAATTGGGCTTCATTTTAGATCACTTGCCATCTGCTGTTAAATCAGTTCCAAACAGTTGAGGCGATGCAACTGGGATGCTAATTAATTGCTCTTCCTAACAGGAATGTTCTTGAGTTCGATCCACAGTTCCAGCCCCATTTCACAACATGTCGAATGAATGAAACCTATGCATATACATAGTACAGTTGAATGACAAGGGCATGTCAATACATGCCAGGCAGACCATTGGTAAATAAAAGCGTGGTAGTTAAACAAAAAAAGACATATTTGGATTTTGCTCTGCCGTTGTGAAAGCGCTACATAAATAAAGATGTATTATATTGCACCACTGCAACCAAAGAGTATTTAGGTCAAACATTGACATGTATGGTGTGTCATAGGTCCTCAAGGGGATTGGTGACAAACAACAAAGGGTAGGAGAAGATTCATACACTTTACCTATGTGACATGGTTAAAAACAAAGTCTCCTGTTACACACAACAGTTTCAGGTATGGCTTCATACATTTGGGTGGGGGGGGGAGTATTAGATCATCATTTATCAATCTATTTTAGAATGAAAAAACAAATAAAATGCTGGCGGGGTTTAAAGGAGCATACAAAGATTTCTGACAGGGCTAAAACCCCCTCCCCCCTCCCCCTAGCCACAGTGGAGCACCACCCCTCCTCAGTCTTCATCTCAACTGTGAGTTTTTGGATTTTTCTTCGGTCATTTATCACATTTTTACAAATGATAATGATATGTGGTGCTCATGATAAATGCGATGCAATTCTCTTATGGGCTTTATGGCGTCCATTATCATTTCCAAAAGCTGTAGATAAAACAGGTTCCTCTTCTTGACCCACGTGATAAACATGAGACCATTTCTCTCTCTCTCTCTCTCTCTCTCTCTCTCTCTCTCTCTCTCTCTCTCTCTCTCTCTCTCTCTCTCTCTCTCTCTCTCTCTCTCTAATATATAAGGGGTGTGTGTGTGTGTGTGTGTGTGTGTGTGTGTGTGTGTGTGTGTGTGTGTGTGTGTGTGTGTCTATTTATTTATTTGAAACAAAACCTTCAATGACTGGTTGCATGAGATGGGGTTAAAGGTTACCTGCTTCTCAAAGGCCCCTTTCACTAGAACTCGGAAGTGGGTGAAAGGTTTTGGACCGGTTGGGAGGGGCCTCGACAATGATTGACAGACCCTCGAACAGATGTCCAACTGAGGCTTTGAACCCGCGCTGACTGCCATCAACAAGTCGTACGTGCACGCCGGGGTCACGGCGCCTCAGCTGCTTCGTAACTGACAAGCACGCTGTGTAAATGGGTCATCGCGAATACGCATTTGTAGACTGACGGCGTCTGGCTTGACTTCCTTCCCTGTTTTGTGTTTGTGTTCCCCGCTGTTAGTGTTAACACTTTGATACTGGATACACAAGCGCAATAAATAAAGAGAGCTGGATTGATTCCTTGTGTGCAAAGCGGAGGTCATGAATAATGCAGGAAGCGGATGGAAGATAAGGAAGATACAACTGCATCCCCATTCTTGCTTTTATGTCTGCCATTCAAGTTACCGTAGTTCAGCTACAATTTTTTCTCTCAATGTGTTTCTCCTACAAATCATCATCATTTAAAGTCTAGTAGTTTTGACTTCATTCACATAAATTTTTTTCTTCACGTTAACGATACTTCTTTTCCCCAGCCTTTTCATTAACTAAAATTCACTGAAGAGCTTGTTTTCATTTGTCCCGAGTTTTTTCAAAATCTTTCTGTGTGTGGGCATAGAACTCTTTTCCCCACAGAGGTGGAGGCGATCCCAGCTGACTTTGGGCAAGAGACGTTGTAAACATTGGAATGCTCGCCGGTGAAGCGCAAGGGGCATATGGTCCTTGTCGGGCGAAATGCTTGCAGCCTGGGCCATTATACCAAATGACCCAGTGGGTTTAACCAAGCAGATTTTGCCTTAATGAAACTTGGTCTATTTGGTGTTTTGTGGAGATTGACCCAATAGTACCTGAGATATATCCTGCAAGGATTCAAAGGAAGGTGGCCACACCTCTTTTTGCAAAATATGTCAAAAATTTGTTGGGCAGTAGCTCCCAAACCCCTGCTCAGATTGACCGAAAGTTTGAGATTTAGTGTTCTTCCAGCATTATCAACGAGTACACCACTGGGTAATCTGGCATGAAACGACCCATCTCCATAATCATTGCTTTTAAGGAAAGCAGTTTTGTTCTCTATCAACAACACCCCCAAACCAAGCTCAGTCGCTACAAATAAATAAATAAATAAATGACGGAGTTGTTTAAAAGTGTCACAGAGGATGAAGATTTCATTGGATTTAGTAATTAGGAGCGACACTGATGGTTTGGTAAACTTGTTAGCATGTTCTTTATGCTATCGTTATCTGAATAACTTAAAATGTTACGTGACCATACCAGGCGCATTCTCAGTTTGTTGTTTATGCATAATGTAACGTTAGCATACCTTACACTTGTTCAGCACATTGTTCTCGCTTTTATTTTTATTTTAAATTGCCTTTCAAGATGACATGTCTGTTCTTGGTGTTGGATTTTATCAAATAAATTTCCCCCCAAAATGCGACTTATACTCCAGTGCGACTTCTAAGTTTTTTTTTCTTTATTTTGCATTCCATGGCTGGTGGGATTTATATTCTGGAGCGATTTATAATCCGGAAAATATGATACTTCTTTGACTGTGACTCCTTTTTTGCAGCTATATCCTTTCTCCTCTCATTTTCGCTTTCCCTGTGTTTGAAGTGTGCACAAAAAGCTCAGTTCATCCTTTCATTGTCACAAACCTAAATTCATTGGAGGGCATGTTGAACTTCCGCATGACATCATTCATCTAATTAGCCTCAAATCACCTTTGATGGTTGCAGGACGAATGGGTTTAAATGTCATGTGAAGAGGTTTGGTGCAACCTGGAGCCTTATTCTCCTCCAAATTGCTTGTCATAATCTGATTCATCAGACCACAATGACATTTGACTCTAAATAGTCGATGTTAATTGCAATACGGACTGCCAATGTTTTGTTGCGTTTTTTTTCTCACGCTTCGAAGTGTGATTTATCGGCTGGGTCCCTTTGATCTGTTTCATAATAATTCCGTTTCAGACTACATTTTGTGCCTGGTTGATGAAAGTTTGTAGGAGCCCAAAATCATCTTCAGGCAGCTCAGCTGCAGCACATGAAAGGGATTAGGCTGCAGTCTGTGCTTGTTTGGAGTGGCTTTGCATCGAAGGGAGGACAATGCATGAACTTCTTTCTTTCCTTCTTTCATTCTTTCTTTCTTTCTTTCTTTTGTTTCTCTTTTTCTTTGGTTCTCCGTGTGTCTCACTTGCACGTACTCTCTGTGTTTTAACAAGGCTTTTTATAGGCTTAGGCTCTGTTTTCCAAGCAACATAAACACCGGGAGACTACTGAAGTTCCATTCCCTATGAAAGACAACAATGGACAGACAGAAATGGGAAGCATTTTTGAAGGGGGGTATTTGGTGAGGACAGATACAAAAACAGAGACAAAATTTAGAACAGCAGTCTGATGCTGGGCACAGCCTAAAGAGGCAATGTGGGTTCTTCTTTCTGGGGCCCAGAAGGTCGGATTCATAAAGCGCAGGGTGGGGGAAGGCGTCAATTTTGGCATCCCCATCTCTGGAGAACTGGGTGGTGGCCGAAGGCGGGAACCTTGGCATTTTGATCTCCGGCTACAGAAGCTAGCTTTAGGGACATAGAATGTCACCTCCCTGGCAGGGAAGGAGCCTGAGCTGGTGGGCAAGGTTGAAATGTTCTAACTAGATATAGTCAGGCTCACCTCAACACATAGTTTAGGGTCTGGTATCAATCCTCTCCGGAGTTGCCTACGGTGAGAGGCGCCGAGCAGGTGTGGGCATACTTATGGCTCTCCCCAGCTCCATGCCTGTACATTGAGGTTCACTCCGGGAGACCAGAGGGTAACCCCCTTCTGCCTGACTGTTGTTTATTTCTATGTACCAAACGGCACTTCAGAGTACTCACCCTCTTTGGAGTCCTTGGGGTACTGCAGGAAGAGGAAAAGTGTTGCCGTAATTTAGAAATAATGTATTAGTTTTAGGTCACTGATGATGTAGTGGTACACGCAACTGACTGCCTGCGTGGACTAATTCCTACTCTCTCTCTGGCGGTGTGCTTGTAAAAGCGCACATGGTTGACTCTCTCTAATGTAACCTGTGATTGGCTGGAGACCAATCGAGGGTGTGGTCAGCTAGTATATACCCCAGCTTCGCTTGTGACCCTGAAGAGGGCAACATTAAAAAATAATATTAATATGTTTCTGCCAATGTCATGACTTCATCTCTCTCTCTTTCACAAGTTTTTGATTGTCACTGAACAACCTACCGCTTCAAGCAGAACATACCAAGAGTATGTGGGGTTGGTGATCACATTAACTGAGTTACTATAAATGTCACATGTGACATTCTGGGTTTCAGTAGTCCGAAGTGTTCACCATGTAGTCATGTTTACAGTAAAACCAGATTAGCTCCATTCATCTCCAACTGCCCCTCACTGTGCGAGTTCAAATCTATTATGCCGAAACAGAGGCTGCTATTCACTCAGACTGTTGTGTGCGCACACACGCACGCACACAAACATGAATGCACTTGCTTGTTCATTTTGTGCCAAAGAGAGCAACGGAATTCTTATGTGGCAAGGAGGAGGAGCGGTGAGTGAAGTCAGAGTGATCTGTTGACAAGGCTTGATGATGAGCAGCAAGCGTTTCCTTTTTGGTGTCACCGAATGCAATCCAGCTCATCGTGACTGATGGACACGCCACATGGCTTCTTAGCACTTGTCTTTTGTTTTTGAGTGAACACTGGGGTGTTTCGCAGCTCCTCTGCTGTTTGTCATGCACTGACAGCAGTTGTAAGGCCGCACAAAAACTATACCACATTCTATTGTGTTACAGTATATAATAATAATGATAATAATAATAATAATAATAATAATAATAATAATTCGATTGTGGTGACCCACAAGAGAGAACCATTAACCAGGGACTGGTACCTTGAAAGGAGGTCAGGGATAATGTACATGAAATGGTTGAAAGGTTGCTACTTTTCAATATGAACTTTCGCTGTATCAACCGAGTAAAGAGACATAACTTGCCGTCGTCTCCTCGTCTCATCATTCACCACATTTACACAACTGGTTGTCCGTCTGTCCCCGACGAGAGCAATAATGTCAGGTGACAATGCTAGCATCGACGTCACATGTTGACGTTAAGTCGCCCGACTTTCGGGAACACAACACAAGTCAGACCGTCTGCTATCCCTCAATGTCGACGGCAAACCATCCGATTTGATGGAAAGGATCCTGGCTGTGTCGGACTTGGCTGATCTCTCATTCGTCTTCGCTCATATTTTCCGGAGGCGGCTTCCAGTGTTGGTACCAGGTAATTTGAGGCTTGTTATAGTGGATAGCGTTAGTTTGGACTTTATTATGGCTGCTGCATCTACGCCACTGCTGGGCACAAACTTTCTTTGTGCCTTTAGGCTGCTAGTGAATGTTATAAACTCCCGCCTAATTGATGGTATCTGCAGTACTGTTTCAGAAGATGGTAGTTATTACGGGAGATGCCCGCATTTATATTCCCAAGTATAATATACACGCACACACATGTTTCAGCCACGTCTGTGCATTCCGCATGGTTGTGGGAGGAGCTGAATCTGTTTTGAGGTCCTCTGTCTTCCTATATCGTGCTTTTGTGCTCATTGAGGTCACAGGTGAGCTGGAGTCCATACCATCTGAATTTGGCCTGAAGATGGTGGTTCAATGTGGACTGGTCACCGGACAAGCTTAGGGCGCATTTTGACAAATATGCATTCCCACTGACATTAACACCTATAGCCAATGTGGTTGTCTATCAATCAAACAGGAATGTTTCTAGAATGTGGAAGGGAGGTGAAGGCCCTGGAGAAAACACACCAGGGCGGACAACATGCAAACTCCTTTTTCTGAATCATTTTTATCTCTCTTCTCAGGGCGCTGGTGTTCATCGCCCATGGGGCTGGGGAGCATTGTGGACCATACGATGAGATTGCACAGAGATTGAAGGAGCTGTCCATGCTGGTCTTTTCGCACGACCACGGTGAGCCACAACTCACAGTACTGCTCCATTCATTCTTGCATCCATTTACGCCTACTGTAATACCCAACTCACACACGCCGGGACGTGTGCAGACAATCCTAGAAAACAGCTCCTCCCTCATCTGCAAGACTGCTCCACGTTTTTTTTTCTCTCTATCTCTGTTCTTTGCCACTAACTTTGTAGCAATCATTGTCATTTTAGGTCAATCCGGACAATCAACAAACAATGAAAACCTAACCTCATTGTAAATGAATGACAGGCCGAACAATAAAATGCTCTTCCACTAGATGCCTTCCGTCACCTTTTGCCATTCATAAAACAGATTAATAGCTTTTTATTGAACAGATTTCACACTGAGAATATAAATTGTGATAAGACCATTATCATTTCACTAGAAATACTTTTTGTCTTTTTTTTTTTTTTTTTTTTGGTGGTGTGCCGAGAGATTTTTCTACCGTCAAATATGTACCTTGCGTCAATCAGAAGCTAATGTATGCAAAATGCATCCTAGCATATTTATGAACTATGTCCTCTGCTTTTAACCCATCACAGTAGTGAACACCACAGACAAGACACAGCGAGTGGCACACATTATAGCAGGTGGAGCAGTTCAGGGTATTGGCATCATGCTCAAGGGCACCCTAATCCATGTAGGGGATGTTGGATGTAGATAAAAGAGGACGGTTTCTATCCCTCCACCTCTGGGTTATGGGCCCAGCATCGCTGTGCCACTCTGATAAAGGTTGTGAAATACTGGCTTGAAGGGATGCAATATTTTCGCCAGCTTGCTGAATATCCTTACAATGTAGCGGTGTGCTCATGTTATCATGCTAGCATGCTTAAAAGCTAACACATTATCTCAGTGTCAGTGATGTTCACTAGACGTTCTTTGAATAATGTTAAAAGAAAATCACACACCACCACTAAATAATCAATAAATAACGGTTCTTGGAAAGAAAAAAAAAAACAATCTACATTACATGTCAAGTGAAACTGGTGTTGATAACGAAACATGGCAAAAACCGAGTCACACTGGAACAAATCTGAATGTGGGTAGAATAGATACACAACATTTTATTACTTGGGTTTTCTTCTCACCAAAGAGAAACGAGAAGGTGTCAAATGGCACGTGATGAGAATGCTTAGGGGTCGTCATTGGTGTTACTGGATCAATGGTTGCCAAGACAACCTGCAGGACCTCCCAGCTTCTGGTGCATGTGTATCAGCTTCCTGTGCATATGCTCATACGAATGTTCATGAATGTTTCTATTCCAGGTCCAGTGTTGGATCTCAATAAATCGCAGGCTGACCTCCATCCAGCCATTCGTCCTTCCATCCATCATCTGATCCACTTTATCCCTACGGGGGTCGCTAGCTCGCTGGAGCCAATCCAACTCTCTTTGGGCAGTATGCGGGGTACACCCTCAACTGGTTGCCAGCCAGTCAAGGGCACACTTAGACAAACAACCATTCATACTCGGAATCACACCTATGGACAATTTAGAGTGAGGAATTTTCCTACCTGCATGTTTTGTGAATGTGGGAGGAAATTGGAGTACCCAGAAAAATGGGGAGGACGTGCAAACTCCACCCAGGAAGCCCGGGGGCCAGGGAATGGAACCCTGCACTTCCACACTGTGAGGTGGACGTGCAGTCTGGGGTGTACCCCGCCTTTTTGTCCATAAATCGATTGGGATAGTCTCCAGTTTACTTGCGACCCTATGAGGATAAACGGTTTAGAAAATGAATGGATTATGAACCTCACACTTGGCTGTGTTTGTTACACACCACACAGTCACTTGTTGGCATGCTTGGACAGGGATAATTGAGTCCCTGAGCTGAGTCTTGCTGGCTTAAATAGCTGTTTCATAGCTTATTGCTATTCTGACGGGATTGTTTTACCTCCACAGTTGGCCATGGTCAGAGTGAAGGAGACAGAATGAACATCAAGGACTTTCAGATGTACATCCAAGACTCGCTGCAGCACATCGACCTGATGAAGTCTCGCCACCCGGGCCTACCTGTCTTCATCGTGGGCCATTCAATGGTAGGAAGCATGCAGACAATATTGGAACACTTTTGAAATGGGCAAAACACAACATGGATGAGTGTTTTCTGTATTCCGGATTTTAAAAAATATATTTTATTTTGCCTTTTATACCGCAGTATAAGTCATATTAATTATTACTGTATTTTTTTCATGGTGGTGGGTTTTTCTTTTTCATTTATTACGTTCAGCGGGGAGAACGGGTGTTTGCTATGAACAGCTCTGCAGGATGCGATGCGTCTACAAGGAACCGTATGTCAATATTTGCTGAAATGATTCAACCATCCCATCAATATTGCGCTTGCGTCTTAATGATAGTCAGCTAGACAAAAAAATTTAATTTTATTCATTGCTTTTAACGGTGCATCATAAATAATGTACTCAAAAGAAAACCAGCTCCACAGGCTGCATATCAGTGACTTAGTGAGAGGCATTTGCGTGTCAGTATAGTCAGTGTCTATTTAAAACATTCATAACAAATGATGTGTAATCCTTCAAATATTCAAAGTGAGCACAACTGTCGCTCTGTTGATAAGTTATGGCTCAGAATTCACAGTTCATTCATGGAAACTGAACAAAATCTTCCGAAACAAATGCGTCACTTCATATGATCTCGCGTGGTCACCCGCGAAGTGGAAGAAAATGTCGAAACAAGAGGTCACCTACAAATATCTGATGATGACCATATGCCATACAAAAATTGAATGGAGGAAATGGAAAAGTGGGAAACACCTGTCCTGGCTGTTATAAACAAGTTAATAATAATAACCCAAAGTATTTTGAATGTATGGCATGTGAGTTTTTATGCAGATGCTCATTGACTGTATTTCCCTTTTATTCTGTTGAAAGCAAACTAACCCGGTGTTTCACAAAGTCTTACCAATTTCATAGTTGTTGTGTTTTTACAGGCCTCATAAGACAGCTTCCCTGTGTTTTGACTCTGTATCCTGTTGCTATTAGATTTGGCTGTTTTTTTTGTAGATTTCCTTTCATCAGCGGCCAGGATGACGCACAAAGGAGGAGAAAATGAACAACCACCTGTGGATTTGACAGTTGCTGATATAACGGCATTCTTTAAAGACCACATGGTGTCACCACTTCAGACACTTGGCTACTTTTGTTGCGCCGTGCTCTGGTTCCCCCTCAAATTGCTGTTACTAAAAGCAATTCTCAACTCAACTTTGCGATTTAACTGTGCCGTGAACAAAACTACTACTTTCATTTGTACTGATGACAGTTAAAATGATAATGTAATATTACTGTTAGTCATTCATTTCTAATCAGCTTATCTTCACGAGGGTCACGGAGCATGCTGGAGCCTATCCAAGCTGTCTTCGGGCAGTAGGCGAGGTACACCCTGAACTGGCTGCCAGCCAATCGCAGGGCACACGTAGATAAAAAAACAAACAAAAAAACATTTGCGCTCACAATCACACCTTGGGGCAATTTCGAGTGTTCCATTAAACTGCCATGCATGTTTTTGGAAAGTGGGAGTAAACTGGAGTACTCGGAGAAAACCCACACAGGCACACGGAGAACATGCAAGTATGCAGTATTGTTATCCATAACAAACAACTAGTCTGGGGGTAGGCATGGGGGGCGGGGGGTTCATGAGGGTGAGATACAAGTCACCAGGAGTGTAATGGTTTGTTTGGGACGAGACGACTGAGAACAAGACAAAAAAATGTTACGTAACAGGAAACATGAAACAACTTTGTTTTCAATTTGTCTTCTGATCAAAAAAGGTCCTGTGTAAGTAAACTTTCAGTATATTCACACAGAAAATGTATTTGTTATGAGTATTCTGGCAGAGCACCTATGTTGTCACAAACCCTCACCCTAATTCTCCATTTTTACATGTGATCAGTCATTCCCATTACAAACTCAATTCCAATGAAGTCGTGGTGTTGTGTTAAACACGTTCCCAGAAAGCTTCAACAGTGTCATGTTTACCACTCTGTCACATCACCTTTTCTTTGAAAAACTCTCAGTAAACGTTTAGGCATGGAGGACACTAATTGTTGAAGCTGTGTTGGTGGAATTCTTTCCCATTCTTGCTTGATGTACAGCTTCAGCTGCAGTCTCGGGTCTCCGTTGTTGTGTTTTACAATTCATAATGCAGCACACATATTCAATGAGTAACAGGTCTGGACTGCAGGCAGGCCAGTCTAGTAACAGCATTCTTTTGCTGCGAAGCCACCTTGTTGGAACACGTGCAAAATGTGGTTTGGCATTGTCTTACTGAAATAAGTCGGGGCAAAAGTCGTGGGCATTGAACGTTGGTTTTCGGCCTTGATGCTTACATGCAATTATTTCTCCAGATTCTGCAGAGCTTTTCATGATGGACACTAGATAAGATGTTTGATGATCACTTATTGATTGAGCAACCAATTTGTGATTGTGTGTTGGGTTAACACTTGACTTAGTGTTAGATGGGGGTACATGAAAAGAAAAAGGACCAAAGTAAACCGTGATTCTGGCAAGACGATACGCCAAACCGTGCATGTGTATGCGTGTCTATGTATTTTTGTTGATTTGTATGCAAGCAGACCTGTGAGTGTGTGTGACTTGTGTCTTTAGAAAGTGAGATTTTCTGGTGGGAACTACTGAGTGGCTCTTTTCAGCGAGCAAGCCCGTCACTGGCCAAAGCCTGTTGAATATTCACACAAGTGACAAAGAATGCTTACAGAAACAAAGAAGTAGCCAATTAGCTGCCGCAAGAGCAGGATGGATCATTGGCACACTATTATTACGCTTGTGTTTATAGGCGTACGTGCATTTCTTTAGTTGCTTTGCCTATTTGCACCTATATGTGATATTTGCTTATGGGTGTGGAAAGCACCTTATTGTCAAATGCCAGTTGTTGTTGCACAACTGTCATCGCTATAGATCTTAGCGTGGGTGCGAAGGTGTGGCCGCGCAGTGTCTTGAGGCTTAACATTGCGATTTTCAATCTAGAAACACAACAGGATGGAAGTTCACGCCCATCCAAACAAAAGCTTGGTTGTTTTATGGACTTGTTGGCCTCAGAGTAGTTTTCCCAGAACTCTTCTCATCAGAACCTCTCACCTACTTCACTTCCCACATCTATTAGAAGACAGACAATCCTTCCTTGCTGTCTGTCACAGTGGGAACTCTCTCTCTCTCTCTCTCTCTCTCTCTCTCTCTCTCTCTCTCTCTCACACACACACACACACAAACACTGAATCAGTCTTTGTTCCATTTTTAACGCCTTGAGTGTTTTTGAGCCCAAATCTATCCCCTATCCATACCCTCTGATTACATAAAATATTTAGTGCTCATTTCAAGCTGCTTTATGCAAGTTATTCAATATGGAATTCTTTGAAACGACGGCAGAAGAGATTAGTTAGGCTGTTGAATGGATATAATGCGAATTAAATTGCAGCGGATGGAAACGGCCGGGGAAGCTACCAAACATGGGTGGAGGGAGCTTGCATATCCCTATGGCAAGTAAAACATGGAATTTATATGCCTCTCTTCCACTGCAGGCTACTAAGTACTATGATACTTACTACTCCGAAAAAAATAAAAAGTTTATATTTATTTACAACCATGTACTTTCCACATCTGTTGCACATGATTAAAATTTGGTCAACCCATTTTCTCATGTCGCCTCCCCAAAAAACTCCAACACAAATAAGTGTTAGTTTTATACATTTTAATCATAAGCAATTGAAAATACAATAGCGGTACTTTTTTTTTTTGTTCAGTGTAGGTGCCAATTCGGGTGATGAATTTTCCACCTGAGTTGTACCGTGGGAAACGGCAAGAAACATGACGCGTTGAACACACCCGTTGGCTAGAGACACATTGACAAAAGAACAAGGGAGGAGGACCACGGTCTTTACTTTTCAGCAGGTGGACTCGTTGACACATGGGAGGAGACTGAGGGCAGCAAGAAATCTGTGTAATGCTGCAAAGTGGAGATTGTGGAGTACAATACCGCAGCTAAGGCACAGCAACCGAGTAGATAGGGGATGGAGGCAAGAAAAGATTGCCTCGCAGGAAGAACCCTCGATCAAACCCAGGATTCCATGTGCACTACACCCACTCGTGGCGAGTCATAATTATAGAGCGATAAAACAATTGACACACCCTAAAAAGTTAATAATTGGCTTTATTATTTGTCAGGTTTGAAACAAACCGAATAATGTTTAGGATCCCAGAAACATAAGCACCAAACAAAACTCCATCCATCCATTTTCCGATCCGCTTATCCATCACAAGGGTCGCGAGGCGTGTTGGAGACAAAACTGACAGGTGGCACTTATTTTGCGATGTTGACATAATTCGACGTACAAACTGTGGCTGCCTATGGAATATCGTGTTGAGGGATATAAGTGCTGAATCAAACTGCCCTTGCTCGATTGCTACTGTCTTCCTAAGTATATGATCTATGATTTACCCCACGCAGGGCGGTGCAATATCCATCCTCACAGCCTGCGAGAGGCCCACCGATTTTACTGGAGTGGTTCTGATTGGTCCCATGGTCCAGATGAACCCAGATTCAGCTACACCGTTCAAGGTACATCTTTTCCATGCCCCTTTTCCATTCTTGCCGGATCTTTTTTTTCATATTGTAGTCGTGGTTGCATTTGATCCAAATTTTTTTTTTTTAAATGAACATAGTTTTGGGGCATTTTTCTTCTGCTAAAAAAATATCCCTGTTCATTTTTTGATCATGTCTGACATAAGATCGACTGGTCAAACAGTTTTCAGCTCCCTGCCAACCCCACTTTTTAATGCTTATTATTGCAAGAACATGACACATTTGGAGAGTTGAGCTGGTACTGGTCAGAGGAAGGGCATTTTTAATATTTGCGTTCTTCCTGGACTTTGGACCAGTCAGATTATTGAATTGTCAAAATGTAAAAACTCTGTATGATTACCAGACAAATGACAGAAGTAGCTGAGTTCTGAAATGTGACCACCTCTCGACAGGTAGCAATTTCCAAACATGTATGCTTTCTCAAGCAGAGCAAGAACCCCACTAAATTTGGAGTTTATGAGCCATGCTCCAGGGCCCTCTGTATGCATACAAGTGAAACTTGCAAAATAGAAAGAATTGTCTTCATTGCGAATCAAGATAGATAGATAGATATTTTTTGCAACAAAAAAACGTTAGCTGTTAGTAGGTTTTTTTTTTTTTTTTTTTTTTACTTTAGGATTTTGACAAGCTACTTTTGGCAAACTCCTATTTGGACAGATGGTGTGAAAATCGGAACAAACAGGTCACCTCAGGTTGCAAAACACATTCTTCCGGTCTCTATGCTGTCCTCATTTGACATGGACCTGTTCGAGTCGTATTGAAAATGCATTAAAGTGTTTGTTGTGTCTTTGTTTATTCGCCGTCTGCAGGTTTTCCTGGCCAAGGTTTTGAACCACATGCTGCCAAACTTTACTCTGGGCTCCATTGAGTCTAAATGGATCTCACGGGACAAGAAGCAGGTGGACAATAGAATATAAAAGTTCTCATGGGCAGTCATTGCCTGCAAGCATGCCTGTCTGTAGCAGTGTGACTTTGGCAAATAAATGATCAGTATTTTATTTAAATTTGAATTAGTTTGCTAATTTTTCAGATGTATCACTCCATTTGAAAATTGTGACGCTCTTGTAACATTAAAATGCAATTTTTTTCTTTTGTCTGTTCAAATATAAAACCGCCAATATTTGTCACACGAGAAGTGAACCCTGGGTAAATCCAAAAACATGTTTCTGAAGAAAGCAAAATGTTTAATTCGACTCAATTCTACATCATGCCGCGCAGATGACATTTTACAATTATGTGTGAAAATGAAGGTGACGCCTACAGGCCCGAAGTGCTGATGCTGTATGCTAAGGAGCAGGAGCAAAAATCAAAAGAACTAGATAAAATAAATATTTTAATTGGCTATTATGATGACTAATATATTTTTACATTGTCAGCACGGTCAGCAAAAAAAATGTTGATATAAGACAGAACCCGATGGTGTTTCTGTTTGCATTTTTAGTTAGCTGCAGGTGGACAATGTATGTTTGGCCTTTTTTTTTCATTACTATGAGCAGGAATCAAAATGAACATGGACTATTTGGTTTGCAAGCAAACTTCAGCCAAGTATCTTTTTTCAGAGTTCATAATGTTTTCGTTTCATGCAGGAATAAAATGCAATGTTCTCTGGAGCAGTTAATTTCATAAATCCAACGCATTATAGTTTCTCATAAATGCAGTTAAAAAAAAGATGTATGCAAAAGGGTTTTGTTGCTCTTGGTGTTTTTCCTGTTTTTTTTTAAATATTTATTTATTTATTTTGTGGGAGAGCCCAAATGGATGGATCGCTGATCTCGATCCTTTGTGTTGTCAGACAAAAGAGCCGCAAGGGAAGTAAGTGCAAATAATATGTGTATCTCTTTCCAGGTGGAAGCTTACGATGCTGACGAGCTGAACTTCCATGGAGGGATGCGCGTGTCATTCGGCATGCAGCTAATGGGGGCGGCAGCTCGCATCGAGAGAGAGATCGCGTCCATCAGCTGGCCCTTCCTGCTCCTGCACGGTGACGCTGACAAGCTCTGCGACATTCAAGGCTCCAAAATGATGTTTGACAAAGCTCCCAGCTCAGACAAGAAACTCAAGGTGGGAACAGTGTGTGCTTCTTTTCTTTTCCATGACTTTTTTTTTTTTTTTAGAATATTTGCTGCAAAAAGCAAAATAAAGCAAAACCCACTGGACACACACTATGATGCTGGCAGAACTGAGCTTTTGTGGGATTTGCGTGATTGTCGTTTTGTAAATTTGATTGAATTCCAAATAGTCTATTGACATTTATATTGTTTCTCGGCAGGTGTACGAGGGCGGCTACCACGCCCTTCACCACGACCTGCCAGAAGTGTCGGAGTCCGTGCTGAAGGAGGTGACCAGTTGGATCACAGAGCGCCTTCCCAACACTGCATTGCCGTCACCACAAGGCTCGTAGACTTCCGGAACATGTCAAGAGGCCAGTCGAAGCTCCAAGGAAACCATCTTCTTGAAAATATACTGTACAGCGCACAGCTCTATGGTTTAACTAGCAGTCAGCTCAAACCATATTGGGAAAATGCATGTACAAGTTCAAGTTGCAGTATGCTCAGGTTTGTAGCGCAATAATGACCGTTCTGTGTGCGCATCTAGCGCCACTTATACTCCTCAGCCTTCCTCAAATGAATGTTCGACAAATGACACATTATCCTTTATCAATGTTACAAATCCTCCCCATTTCCACGTCCTAATTAGTTTTAAGCAAATATGACTAAAAGCGAGTGACACGAGTTCGTTAATTCCGGTATGGGCCACGGATTCAGTTTTTTTTCTTTTTCAATTGCTAGGCAGGGAATTATTACCGCTTTTCTTGGTGGTGCATGAATGGTAATGGTATAATTCAGGCAATTTGCAAGTCTATCCAAATTAAGTCTTAATTGAAGTGTCCGTCCGAGTAATTGTCGTCCTCAAGCAGGCCACTTTGCTAAGTTACTATGGACTAACTATGGAGTTACAGTAATTGGTTCACATGCCATTATAGTTTGCCCGAATAAATATAGGATGTAACATAGAGGACAGACTGAACTCCACAATAGGATAACAATGTACATTAATTTGATGGTTGAGATTTTTTTTTTTAATCCTGAGAATACACATAAAGGGAAAGTCAACCCCCAAATTTTCTTGACAAAAATATGTTCTATCGGCCTCCACACATTCTGATTAATAATGTGTGGAATATGATTTAAGCAGTAGAATCCGCCAGTTTTTGTCCATCTCGGGGGCGGCCATTTTGCCACTTGCTGTCGACAGAGTTGCTCAGTGCTCCGGTAACAATCAATCATGGCACAGCTTCAGAAAAGAGATGAGGCGCCATTGATGGTTATCTAAGCCTTGAGTATCTGTGACATCATTTTCAGTTGACAAAAAGAAGCCAAATGACATCCCCTGTCACATTTATGACTAATACAGACTGACAAATTGCAATTCCATATGTAATGTGTTGGAGCTGCGTATATTACTGCAAAAACGAAAAGACTGAGATTAATTTCTGGGCTCTGGCATCATCTGAGACTTTCTTAATAACTATCTTTACACGTTCTTTATCACACCCAATGCTTCAAAGGGTCAGTCTGGTATGTTTTGCCCCTTTATTTGCTTGAGATGCTGTGGTGACCAGCAGTGTTTGTCCATTCCATCAGCAAAGCCACTTTTTTCTTCCAGTAGAGCCTCACCTATGCTGCCTCTAGTGATCAGTGTCCTGCACTTAAATGCTCAAACTAAATTATATTACTGATAACATCAACGGAAAAGCTCTTGAAAAGTGTGATAGATAAACCCCCAGATTCTATCAACTTTCTATTTGCCCATATGACACATACTCTTGGCAAATTTCTATGAAAATCAGACCCATTAGTTTCAGCATAAATCTTCTGATGGACTGGTGAAAAATATATAATGCAATTTATAAAAGAGTTGCATACATAACACATAACATGAACACAAACTACAAATAAAACCCAAAGGAAGGAAAAATAAATACAGTAAGTACATGTAAAAAAAAAAAAAAAAAACAAAAACAAAATATTAGTTGAGACAAATAATAAAATAAAATGAAGCCTAAAATAATCACAATAAAACAACGGTGAATCGGGTTACAAATGTGTTTAATTATGTGCATTTCTTGGGGTAAATCAGGCTCCTCTTGTTTAGCTGGCTCTGCAGTACATCCACGACTGCAGTGAGAGCACATACATGCATTATGCAGTTCTGCATGTGCTCAGCACAAGAGACTAAGACATGAAGGTTTTTGCATTGATAACTTATCAAGAAACGCTGCCGGTCTGATGACATGAGTGCATGTTACTGCGCAACATTAGCATATCATCAGCGCTGGGGCTGGGGGGGTGGGGGGTGATTGAGTAGAAGAGGAGAGAGAACGATGTGCTGGTCGTAACCATGGCAGCACCTTTGTGTGTGTGTGTGTGTGTGTGTGTGTGTGTGTGTGTGTGTGTGTGTGTGTGTGTGTTTCTTTTTAATAACATCCTGTTAATTGCGTGTCATGTGAGACAGAGGATGCTGTGCTTTCAGTTTCAGGGCGTGCTTTGTCCGACTAATGCTCGGAAGAGTTTCTTTTGTGTGAGCTTTGACAGACGAGAGAGGATAGTTACAGGAGCATCATTGCTACACAGCGTCTATGAGAGCAGCTTTGAATCCAAATCAGTTTTTTTCTGCTTAAAATCCACCTTTTCCTTATAGAACATGTGGAGATAATGTACTGTACATTTCCTCCAAAATATGTGAAGCTTTAGCCACAGTACTGGACTTGTTGTTGGACAGCGTTCATAAGGCAACATTAGCTAGCAGGCCCAGCAACGTAGACAATAAATGGCCACATCACCGATTTTTATTGGTTGTCAATACAAGGCAGAATTTGTGGGGAACACTTTGGTTAGTGATATAGAAAATTCCTATTGGTTACATGTTTGTGAGTAAGTATTTGCGGGGCGCAGTTAGCTCACGATCAGGCTTGCTCAGATTGTATTTTTTATGCGATGTCACACAATTGTATTGGTCTCGCGTGATGCAAAGCAGAGTTTGTGGGGCAATATTTATCGAGCAGGACAGCAACCTAGACCAAACTCAGCCGTGTTACACATGTTTCTCGGCAGAATTCACGGGGCGCACACAATTAGCTAACTCAAATGTCAAAAGTCACCTCACACATTATTGTGGTCATTTGTTGCTCGGCAGAATAGCCCTTAAATGCCTATCCCGGAGGCACAGCAACGCAGGGTTATCTTTTTTGGGTCGCACTTTCGAGCTGTCACCTGTTGCTAGGCAGAATGTGCGGGGCACAAGCATTTACACCCCCTACACTTCAAGCTCAGTATAAAAAAAAAAATGGCATCATTTAGTCACATTCCTATGCTGTTTCCTTGGCAAATTGAAGTAGAGGGTGCAGCTGCCCCAGCAAGACGACAGACACCTGCCATGGAAACTACCCCTACAATACTTTAAAGATCTATGAGACATGTTTATGTACAGTATACACATACATTTTGCAATTACATCACCATTCTTTTATCGGAAAGAATATATCAAGCCATCTTCGAGCACAGTACCATATGCTGGCAAAGTTACAGATCATAAGATGGTGAACCTATGTGAGCATGTTAACCATCACTGTCACGCACTGTATACTTTAACAAACATGATCTTTTTTTTTTTTTTTTTTTTTTGCAGCTTTGTCATGCTTAGAAATTAGTCTTGCATAATTACTGTGTTGCATTATACAGTACACTGTATAAAGATTGTATGTAGACAGAGCACCCATTTATATATAAGAACCAACATGACTGTTAGTATCTTTATTTAGTCTCCTATATGAAGTAAGAAAAATAATTTTATGTAGGTGGGGAATTGCCGAATGGTTTGCAGCAGTCGGTCATTGCCTGTTTGTTTTCTAAACCTTGACTTTATGACTGTTTCTTTTTTTATTAAAGAATGAAGGACCTTTATGTGTGTGGTCCCAAAATGGTGTAAAATATACCTTGATCTGAGCAGTAAAATGTAACGCCATCTTTTTTTCTGTTCTATTTCTGAGAACCTAAATTATAATAAGATAACTTATCAGTGGGGCATTTTGGACCATGTGTTGTTGTCTTGATATTTTTAAATAGGATGATTTAATTTTAGCAGGTGATTCTGTAAACTAATATAACGTTGTACAAAAGCAGCAACTCAATATCGGGTTTTTGTTGGTTGGTGGGTGGGTGGGAGGTTGCTATTACAAATATTTACAGGCTAATGTGTACTGATCAAATATTCAGAACAATGCACTTTTTTATACCTTGTATCACAAAGTGTAATTTGTAACTTTTTAAAGTGGGAACTGGTTGGAAGTTGTATGCCGTCCCACAAATGTATGACCATTAGACTGCATATTGAGTTTTTTAATGTGTTAAAATCTACCTTGCATTTTGCAGATTGCGATTCTAAAAAAAAAAAAAATGAATGTTGGAAGTTTCTCTTCGTGGCATGTTTTGCTTTATTCCAGAGCATGCATCTTGGGATAATTCTTTCTCCTGTATTAACAAATGTAAAAATCAGGAACGGAACTTTATCGCATGCATGTGATGATGAAAAGGACACGTGAGACACTGATTGAGCCAAAAATAAATGTGAAGTTCAAAATAGATCACAACTTTATGTTCCAGAAAGAAATATGGCCAATTCCATAGTAGGACCTTGTATTGCATTATTTTATGGTATGGTGTTGTGTGCCTTAACCATGACCAAGTGTGAGTATGTTTGTGCAATAAAGTCTGACTCCACCAGGGTTTTTTAGATAAAGAGCTATGTAGTGTTACATTGAACATGTTGGTTTGTTTATTTTTTTGTCCGTGTGTCTCACAACATCATTGTATATTTCTAAAGACATATATTTGTCTCGGATAATGTTTTTGCGTGTACTAAAAATAAATAAACCACACTTTTACTGAAAATGGGTTCTTGTTCTTCAGGCTGCTGTAAACTGGCGCATGGCACTATACATCGAAAAATACTTTAATGTAACACCAATAAAAATGCCACTCGGGTACTAAAATGTTTTTTTTTTTTTTTTTTTTTTTTGCGCTCGGTGTAAAGTAATAAGTTCATGCAGGTCACTCGGCAAATGAACTAAAAGATACCCAACAGACACTGCGCGCATAACTGAAGCAGATCACCCACGCCGCTAACAACATTGAAAAATGAGCAACGGACATGACAAGGTCACAGAAAACTAAGACTTGGTCCCATTAACAGATGCATGTCGGTTCTCTGGAATTATTTCGGCTACAAGGGTAACGTTAACCAAACACGTGTTCTCTGTGGCCACTACCGGCCTGGCCTGTGGCCACAACGACAGGTAACACAACAAATTTGTTTGACCATTGACGGCGACGCCATGCAGCTCAGTACGTCAAATCATTTGACGAACTGAGCTTTTGGCTCAAAAACAATGCCAAATCTGAATGACTGAAGGTTATGTCATCACTCTAACGTCATAATTATTTCTTTTTACAATGGCTTTCCATTTTTAACATTAATGACCAGGACAGAAAGAAGAAAAATATTATACACACACCTTTTCATGATATAATTACATCTGTCTTCATAAATGAGAAACAAATGTCCAACGGATATTCAGCTGTTAGCTTCTCTGCCTGTCTATGTAAAATATACATCGCCCAGTCAAAAAAAAAAAAAAAAGCACCGTACTCTCCCAAATTCTAATATCGCGCAGCTCAACGGGGAAACACTCATTGATAACATAAATTTAAACGCCACACACACACACACACACACACACACACACACACACACACACACACACACACACACACACACACACACACACACTCAACTGCGTTGGCCAGTAGATGGTGCTGTTGAATCATAACTCCATTGAAGCAGTTGCGAGATGAACGCAGTGTGTGAATGGAAAAGCGATTCACATTTTAAGCATGAATACAATCCTGGAAACCTAAGGGGAAACGTCGTCTTCATTTATAAGGTTTTAGTCATCGGGTCCGAATATCAGGTAAAGTACACCTGCAGAAGAATATAGTATCATTAGTATTCTTGCTCGCACGAGGAAGGGCTTTCTGTGTAAAAATGATGACAGTAGTGTGAAAAACTTGAGTCACTATGGTGGTGAAATTGACATTCCTTTATCTGATATATCAGACAAAAGTGAAATCATTGATTTGCTGTTATTATAATACGAAGGGAGCATGTTTATTGTGTATCCAGAGATTGCTAATATGGTGTGATGTATTAGCCCATCATTATTAGATTACACTAGATTAGATTAGAAAAAAATTAGATTCCACTTTATATTCATTAGTTACAAGTATGAGGCAATAAAAACAGAGTCGATATCATTGGCCAAGTATGTTAAAACGTACAAGGTTTTTGTTTTCAGTAGGTGAAGCCTACTATGTTCTCCAGCAAAAAAACACTATAAAAAATGTGACATTTCTGACATAAATATTCAAAACACAGAGCCGTTAAGCAATATTCCATTTTCAGTAGTCCAGTTGTACAATTTAACAAGTATGCCAAAAAAAAATACAAAATAAAATACAAATTGCATTTAACCAGAAGTGATCCTTTGTCATCACATTCGTACCACCTCATTCTGAACTCTTTCCCCTTCTTGTTGATGTCATTCACCTATAAGCACTGCCCTGATGTTCTCACTTCTCTCTTCATCCCTCAATCCCTTAGTTCTTCTTAACATCCTCATTTCTGTTGCCTCTAAATTCCTGTCCTTTTTCGTCCATACATCTGACCCATACAACAACGCCGGTTATATGACTTCTGGGCATTTTCTGTATCATATGATACTCGACAGCTCTCTCCACTTTGCCTATTCTGCCATCACTCTCACACTTATCACTGTTTCAAGGCCTTCTTCGTCATTCATCGTTCCTCACAGGGATTTAAAGACACTGACCTGTCTGAGACTGGAGTTGTTCCTATCCTTTATGTCAATCTTTATGTTGATTCAACACTTTTACCATGACTTCCGTCTTGGATGTGTTCATCTTCAGTCCCTTGCATAGTCACTTTCTTTGCATTCTTCTTTGCTGTTGGACATAAAGGCCAAGTCATCTACAAACAACAGTTACCATGCCAAACCATACTGAAGCACCGGTACTTATACTTATACACTTTTGAGTACTAATAGCATTCACTGCAACAGTGATTGAGTAAATCCCAATGAGAGTTACCGACACTTCCTTCAGGAGCTATTGTTAACTCACGAGATACTTCGTGGTCTACTGGTTCCCTGGTCTACTCTACACTATCTTTGCTAGCAGCTTAAGTTCTTCCACTTAACCTTTGTCCACTTGCTGCTATAAACGATAATAGCTGTGGTTAACTCAACCGGCCAACATTTCTTACTAAGTACATCTGTGAGTAAATTGACATGAGATCATATTTTCCATATAAATAAAGACTTTGTGACATATTTGTTCGATGGAATGCTATGATTTTTTTCCGATGTAAAACATGTGCTTTGGCTCAAAATCGAGAAACACTATTTCGATTTTATTTGGGAATAAACAGCAATTCGACCACCGGCAGATGGCAATCAAATTTGACCCGTCATTTCTATGGGTGTGGCCCAGGTTCTGTCCCTCCTTTTGTTCTCAGCCAGTGAAGTGCTTTTCATAATTTGATTGACCCAAGCTCCTGTCAATCAATGTCACCGCTTCTCGCACGCCACGCCCACCACGCTAACTGGAGGGTTCATTCGCGCATGACAGCTCATGGAGTAGCTGTTCGGCGGAGGTGGTGGGCTTACCATTGTGTTTATTCTTTGCACGCGTCGCCCGTTATATTTAATATCTGACCTGCATTTACTTTGTAAACCGGTTTTATTTGGCGGTGTTTTGTCGCTGCGAAATTTGGCGGCTTAGCTCCCAGGATTTGTCCAGTGCTCGCTGAACGCCCTGTGTCACTTGCCGTAGGGATACATGTACAGTAGTGGCTAACAGGCTATTAGCTAATTAGCCGGATAGCTTGTTGGCTAACCAGCTCGCCAAAATTCTCCACAGCAAGTCCCACCCTCCACGCAGTGCGTGGTCGTCGTGCGGAGCGGCAGCCGTGAAGCGGTACTTCCCCACCCCCCTACCCTTTAACTCGGCCGGCTTCGTTGTTACTTGTTACACCTCCGACGGGGCTACGAGCAAAGCTAAACCATTAAGCCCTAGTACGTTAGCAAGGTGACGCCAACGACATTGTTGGCGCTACGTGGGGAGAGACGTGTCTTCTAAGGAGGGATACGTTCGCTGTTCTGTTCTCATCACCTCGGCGGAGCGGTTTGGCTTCAAGAAGCGGCGGAAAACGAGAGCGAACGGGGAATACTACACGGCGAAGCGAAGGAGGGGACTGGCTGATTTAGCCGGTGAGATTGAATTCGCATGTAAGTGGACCGCTTGCCACAAGCTTTTCCCGGCGGCTTATCCGAACAAGAACCCGCGATTAACCGGCAGACTGCTTGTGTTCGCTTTAACTTGTCCGTCGGTTGAATGGAAAATAAACCATTGAAAGGTGACTTTACTTCTCGCTAGCTTAAGGCTAGCTAACGTCCGGATGCATGGCGAGACAAGTGCCGTCACACGCACACCAATTTGCCCGTTTGCATTTGGAAGTTGAGATCAACTCTGTTCGGTGTCTTTGTATCTGAAAGGCGCCGCCGCCTTACCGTAACTGTCACGAGTATTAGTCTCTATTTCTGCCCAGCCCAAGTTGACAGATCTGTGTGTGAACATATATGTATGTTTGCATGCGCGCGCGCGCGCGTGTGTGTGTGTGTGTGTGTGTGTGTGCGCGCGCGAGAGAGAGCACTCTCGTGCAAAATGAGCACAACCTAACGACTGACTGTTCATCTGATGTTCCCTCCAACCCCATCCCCTATCGCATTGGCAAACGTTAGTCTCATATCTGCCCATTGCAGCTGTGGGAACTCCGTGTTCCCTGACTCAACGCGAGATAATACGGCCGTTCAGTGTCAATGTCAGACAGCACCACGAATCGTCACTGCGTTGCACCCACTACCTTGGATTGTCAACATCTGAGTTGATAATTCTTTGGTTAACTTGGCAGTGGAATTTCAGCTGTCTGTCAAAATCCACAGCGCATGAAAAGAGCAAAACTTTTGCAATGCACACGAAAACCTTGGCTTTGCAAACCTGCAGCAGTGGGCCTCTTTTAACCTTGTCGCCGACTCATTTTGATGATCCGATTGATGACCCTAAGTAACAACAACCTACCTTGACAATGACCTCTCCTACCACAGATCGAGAACAAGCACTGCAACTGAGCCACACACACAATCATGAGTATTGAAATACCAGTGGGCTTGAAGGAACTGCTGGAGGGCTACACGGTGGAGGTGCTTCGGCAACGGCCGTCGGACCTGTTGGAATTTGCCGTCCAGTACTTCACCCGCTTGCGGGACACCAGGAGTCAAGATGGGGCCAGCGAAGGCGGCAAGATGGGAAAGGGGGTGATGTTCGATGGAGAGCCGATGCAAACAGAGTCCAATGGCGACGATGACGAAGATGACGACTCAGACTTTGAACGTAAGTACCACTAATTTTGCATACACCAATCCTCGCTTGTCGCTGGTTGGACTGGGTATCGATTCAGATTTCCAAAATCGATTAGATTCACAACGGCCCGGTTGAATTCATGATTCACTTTGATTGATTTTCACTCTGTACAAATTTTACTTTCATATGGAAGACATTCTCACAGGCAATGGTGCAAATAGTAGAAACTACCTCTAATTTGGTACATCTGTAAAAGTCTAAATATTTACATTAAGAATTTAACCCTTTATAGCTACGTTAATCGAGAATGTTTTTTTTGAATACGATAAAAACAATAATTAATTTATAACAATTCCAACCACAGGGCAGGCTGTGTAAATAAAGTGGCAAAACACACTTGAAAGTCATGACTTTCACATTCCTGTCACTGTCTCCCAAAGTTTCATTGCTGTCTTTGTGTTTTTCAAGGCCAAAAATCTTCTAGACATCCGCCTTCAAGTTGATGCTAATTTCAGTGCTTCCGTCATGTTTTGATATTTGATATCCGCCTGTTGTTACTATTTATTTATTTATTTATTTTATTAAGCATATTTATATATTTGTCTTATGTAATTTTAGGTAAATTCTAGCTGTGTGTGTTCAATGCACTACATGTTGCACTGTGGTTGAGAGAGGAAAGTAATTTCATCTGTGCTGTATATTACACATAGAGCATATTTGACAATAAAAGCTGACTTGACTCGACTTGATTTGCAACTCTCGCATCTTGGCGGGATCTCATGTGATGCGAGAAGTCACATGAAAAATGGGAAAAGCCCTATTGAAAGGATCTCTTTATGGTTTTCTGAATCTATCGAGTGATGGAAAGGAAAATCTATTCGATATATGGATTTTTTTTTTCTTTTTAAACCCAGCGCTAGTCGCTGGGTAAAAGGACTGAGCCCTAACTCAAATATTTTGTTCTTTTCTATTGGCCAGAGCCATCTTGTGACGTCTTAGGATGCTGCAGAAAAAGTAAAAAATTAGCCTAGGTGAGATTTGAAACAACACAATAGAGGAGGACGGAAAAAAAATGTTGAATAGTGGACCATGAACAGATGGCAGTTCCTTGTGTACATATTACCTGATGCCGTGGTCGCAGACGTTTGCACAAATTTGGTTTTATTATAGGATACAACTCTAGATATTTATTGTTTGCATTTATTCCATATGCTGTTAAAATTGATTTGGAGCGCGGCGTCTTTTAAGCTGAAAACGATGGCTTGGTCATGGGCCTCTCTCCCATCAAAGAAAGTTTTGGTTGTCATGTGCGTTTATGAAGCAACTGTGGTTTCAGCCTGCGGCTAATACCCACAACACACAGCCACTGGAGAGCTCCAGTGCCGGTCTCAAACCCGGATAAATGGAGGGCGGGGATTGCGTGAGGAACCAAATCTTATGTAAAATGGTGTGAGAAACATAACTCATTATGGATACCTTCAGATTCCCTTGATTGAAAGATCAGGCAAATTGAGACCTGTTTTTTTTTTCTTTTTAAACCATTGTATCCTGTAGCTATGTTGTAATTGGCGGTGTACTGATCAGGGATTTATGCTGCCAATTCCGATAACGAAGAGTGATATCTGACGAAACCCATTCAGATCGTATTTATTAACTGCCCAATTTTCAATTCATTCAAGAGTTCTAACTATCGATGATTTCGATGATGTCCTGTTTCTTTTTTTCAATCAATGGATGAGTCCGATTTAAAATTTAAAAAAAACTTTAATTCCCATCCCTCTATCCAAAAACAGGACATTATTTCAAAGTGACAGTGCTGAAGATGCACGAACAAGTTCTGATTCAGTTGCTGGTTGTCAGAAAATAGGCAAAAATGCTGATTGTAGCTTTCCTTAGTAAAAGCAGATGTTTGCATGTGTTTTGAAAGTCTGTTTTCAAGGAGGACTACAGAAAACAATTGCTGTTGAGATGTGCGTCAGATTCCTTGTAACAAAGGGGAGCAAATTGACGGGAACTGAGTCGAAATTTATGTATCTGCTCTCAGCGTCAAAACCTCACCAACTTCTAATGCCATTGCATTTGTGATTTTGAAAGCTTGTTCAGCTGCTCTCCCTCCAAGGTATCGTTTGATGCCGTGTTGGCGGATGCAAACTTAGCCTCCCTCTCAAATCGCATACGATTGCCACCCAGTAGACATGTTTGCCGCTGCCGCACATCTGTTCAGTGTGAAGGAAGGGGAGACGAGGGACGCTACCACAGCATGCAGGCTGGTGTCTAGTTGGTACGAGCTGCGGGTGATAAGTTTATATGATCGACAGCAAGAGACTGATTGATATATGCCAGTCAAATACTTTTCCACAGAAATCGGCGAATCATGGTCATTGGCTGATCGATCGCAGAGCCACTAACTATTTCTTTGATATTCTTTTTTTTCCCCCTCCAATATGTGAATGCCATGCCAGACTTGTTGACTTGCCAATTGGGGACAGTCACGCGAAGCGTTTTCCAATAGTTAGTGTTGCCTGTATCTTAAAAATGTACTGTACACTTTGTTCCTCATCAACAATTTGGATTTTTATTATTAAGTCATTGAAGCCACCAGAGACTACGTCAAATATTGTTGGCCTTGAGCCGAAACCTCCCATGTCACAATTTTGTTAATTGAATATTTTTTTCACAAATCTAATCCACATGTCTGGATGATATTTCTTCAATGGTTTTTGTCATTATTGCCCAATCTAAAGTGTGGAATATGGCTTGCTCCCTTTTACGATGCCATGGTCATAGTTGAACAAACATGTCGCCTGTGGGGTCTCCTGAAAAGTTACGATTTTTGGATATAGGAGGATTCAGGCCGACGCCAGAGAAATGTACTTCTACTTTCTCTTTTGAATTCTTCTTGAACAGAAAAGTAGTTGAGACTGCCGTGAAATTTCTCAGACCGCACGAAATTACATGCTTATTTCGGAATTTCAACGCATTCAAATTTGTCTGATTGACAAAAATCAGCCCCAAAAAAACAAAACAAAACAAAAAAAACTCCACATGATGTACATACTCTGATCTGGCGTTCTCTTTTGAGGATTCTGTAGACTTAGAGGAGATGCAAGCTGCTGCACTGCACTGCTCTGCTCTGCGTATGCTGCACAGAGCAGCGTGGCCTACATCTGTTTAGCTGTGGAGCCGGTGTGTGTGTGTTGTTTTGTGAATGAGATTTCTTCAATGCATTTTCTCAGTGGGTTGATCTTCTTTAATGGACTGTGAATCTGCCAAAGGTTTACATGTCTTGGAGCCATTATTAGGTTGCCAGTTACCCTAATTCATGATGCCCACGGATGGGGATAGTCGTAGGTTAATTGATCATTATGTGTTTGGATGGTTATCCTTTTATTATTCCGTTTAATTAAAATTGTATTCACAAAGTCATGAGTTAATTAGTCATTCATTTCCACCAACAATATATCAAGGAATTTTTGCCCATCCCTACACCATAAGCAAGGAATGATTGGCCGGCTTTGGTGATTGGCTCAGGGTAAAAGCGCAATTACTGTCTGTCTGTTTTTATTTTTCTCTCTCTCTCTTCCTCCCTCTCGCTCTCCCTCGATCTCTGCATGCATACATGTGGGTAAGTGTGTGTGTGTTTGACAAATGATAAGCGTACCCCGTACGTGTGAAAGCCAGCTGCGCTGCAACTATTTCCCATTCAAATTCCAGTCGGAACATTATGAGTAACACGCATTCCGCGTTCAAACTTTCCTCAATCCAGCGCATCAGTAAAGAACACTGCTTGAAAGTGTTGTGCTTTCTTGCCTGAGCAGCGCCTATTCTACACACGGCATGAGATTATCCAGCCAGCCAGGCTTGCAACACAGCCCCAAGGCACATATCACACGGGTTGACAACACGGGCTTATAGAGCTGTACGCATCATGTGTTCTAGCCTGACCGCTCTTATGCATGGCCTGCAGATAAAAAGTAACACGTGCTCAAACGCTGATCTGCTGGCCAGAAATAAACTTTACAAAATGACTTTTACCAATCTGGGATGGTTTCTTTAACATTTACGGGTAACTCTTATGATTTACATGCCGTTGGCATGGGATCGAAACCCCATTTGTCACATTTCGGTAAATTTTCTTCACAAATCAATGCTATTGGTCAATCCACATGTGAGTGTTCCATCCATCATCGATCCGTTATCTAGCACTTATCCGGGGTGGGGTAGCGGTGGCAATAGCTTCAGCAGGAAGCCCAGACTTCCCTCTCCTCTGCCACGTTCTCCAACTCTTCGGAGACATCCCACGGCAATTCCAGGCCAGCCAGGAGACTTAAGGCACCTTTATTGGAGTTTTCCGAGGCGGTTCCAATAGAGCCTCTTTTCAGAACCAGCTCAGAAGTGGTTCTAAATCGCAGGCCGAGTGGGACTGTGTCATCACTGTTATCTGATTGGCCGACACCGATGCATCAAGGAACTCCGCCGCTCATGCCCATTTCCTGGATTTTGACAAACCGCCAGCCGTCCGCCGGCAAAATCATTCGAAATATGTGCACAATTAATACAGTAGCGTTTGACAACAACGGCAAACTAAATTTCCAATTTGTATGTACTAATGAATGCATTTTTGAAGATTGTTAAAAAATTGTCGCCACATCATGCTGCCACAATTCATTTTTGAAATTGTCCCAAAAAAAAAAAGTACTTGCCAATAGTCCTGCACAATATATCGAAAAAATATTTTCGAGATCATGAATATGCAATATGCATATCACAAAGACATGCAGTCGTAACTTTTGTATGGATGGATGCTTTTATCTGAATTTGACCAGTCCAATGGAATTTTAAGTACGGATGGCCATCCCATAGGTGAACAGTATCTACGAGCATTACAATTAAGAATGGGGAAAAAAAAGTCTGACTTTTCTAAGAGAGAATGCATTCACAGCAATTCAACCTCGAATAAGTGAAGGCAAAAGAATGGATAGAATTATACAATACTTTTTAGACAGAAGAGAATCGACTTTCGACTGGCA